ATGGCTGTGGCCACAGAGAGGCTTAGGTTTCCCCAGCAATCGAGAAAGCCAAGCTTTCTGCCTGCCCTGGCTGGCCCAGACATCCGCTCAAGGTTACAAAGTTTCAGTAAAAGAAGATGAATAAATCCCAACAAATATGGTGGCAGCCACGAAGCTGGAGAGAGCAGGAGGCTTGAGTTTCTCCTGGCAATGGAGGAAGCCAAGCTTCTGAAGCCCTGGCCTGCCTTGGCCTCCACTGAAGGCTACAAAGTTTCAATTACAGAAGATAAATAAATCCCAATAAAAATGGTTGGGGCCATGGAGTGAGCAGGAGGCTTGGCTCTGCTCAAGGCTACAAAGTTTCAATTATAGAAGATAAATAAATCCCAGATACCAGGTGCTCTGCTTGGGTCGCCAGATGGTGTGGCCAGCCTGCAAACCACCACAGGCCCCTTACCCAGACCATCCCATGCCCCAAGGGAACCCCCACCCTAATCTGGGACACCCTTTAGGGCAAACCAGCTGGCCTCCACCTATGCACTAGGCCTCTATCCTATCTAATCCTATCTAATAAAAGAGTAATATGAAAATTGACCATCACTCCAACACATTAAGATGGCTAACCCCGTGTGGTCAAAGATGACTGCCCCCATGTGGAAACAAGATGAATAGCAGGGAAGGACAGTTGGGAGGGACCAGGTCTGCAAGGAAGAGAAGTTGTGGGCGATCAGGCCAGCAGGGGAGGGTAGTTGGGAGGGATCAGTTCTGCAAGGGAGGGCAGTTGGGGGAGATCAAGTCTACAGGGGAGGGTACTTAGGGGTGACCAGGCTGGCAGAGGAGGGAAGTTGGGGGTGATAGGGCCTACAAGGAAGGGCAGTTGAGGGGGACCAGGCCTGCAGGGGAGGGCAGTTAAGAGTGACCAGGCCTGCAGGGAAGGGCAGTGGGGCAACCAGGCCTACAAGGAAGCAGTTAGGCATTAATTAGGCTGGCAGGGGAATAGTTAGGGGATGATTAGGCTGGCAGGCAGAAGTGGTTAGGGTCAATTAGGAAGGCAGACAGATGAGCAGTTGGGAGCCAGCAGTCTTGGATTGTGAGAGGGATCCCAGATTGGAGATGGTGCAGGCTGGGCTGAGGGACACACACTCCTCTGCATAAATTTCATGCATCCGGCCTCCAGTTTAAATCTATAAAAGTGAATCAAAGGTTGACAATGAAAGAAAATGGACATAGCACTGCAAAACCTTGAACACTGTAATTAATACAATACACTCTTGTGTTAGATAAAACATGATCATTCCATGGATAGCTCAGGAAAATTTACAGTTTATAACTTTATTCTTCCCAATAAAATAGATGGACTTTTCTACTTATGACATAGGAGGAAAATACATGGAATTCACTATCTTCCCATACCTATAATCTTCTTTCATAGTTGCAGGGGTCCTCAAACTTTTTAAAGTGGGGGCCAGATCACGGTCCCTCAGAGAGCTGGAGGGCCGGACTATATGAACTACTAATTTCTACTGTAACACCTCGGCTGCGCTCACTGCCCAAAAAACCTGGCGGGCCGGATCAGACTCCTCTGCGGGCCGCATGTGGCCCGCGGGCCGTAGTTTGAAGACGCCTGGTACTGCATGCTTCATAAATTTCAGTAACAAATGTTCGTGAACTTCCTGGGGAAAACATATTTTGCTGAGGAAAAGCAGTTTGGAGAGTTTAGAAGCAAAATATGAGGGAATATGTTGTTGCTATAAATTATTTGGCAACTTTGTATATTCTTGTAGTAGATATGGTATTAAGAAATGAACATTCATACCCTGATCCTGCCATGTTAATTTTACAAAGATAATCTGCCTTACCCTTTAATAGACTAATTGAGATTATAATAGTTCTTAAAAATTTATAAAATGCTATTAAAAATTATAAAAACCTGTAATTACAAGAAAAAAGTTTGCTCCAGTATATAAAATCCTGGGACTATATATTGTGGGAAATATCAATAATAATGTCACTATTGCATTAGAACTACTATATTAGATATAGTTTTGTTACTGTTATATGAATATAGAATAAATCCAGTAAGTCCTAACATATGTGTGAAGAAAATAATTTATCCTGTTCTCCCAAGCTAGATGTTTATACTTAACTACAGGTCCAGTGCACAAATTTGTGCACTGAAGGGGGGGGGGTGGTCCCTCAGCCCAGCCTTTGCCATCTCGCAGTCCAGGGCCCCTCAGGGGATGTCTGACTGAAGGACATCCTTAGAGCTGTTGCAGAGAGGCAGGTGAGGCTTCCACCACCACTGTTGCACTCACCAGCGGTTAGCTTGGTTTCTGGCTGAGCAGTGCTTCCCCTGTGAGAGTGAACTGACCACCGGGGGACAGCTCCTACATTGAGTGCTCCATGGTGGTCAGTGCAGATCATAGCAACCAGTCATTCTGCCAGTTGGTTGATTTGCTTACTAGCCTTTCATTATATAGAACTAGTGGCCCAGTGCACAAAATTCACACACGAGATTGTCCCTCAGCTCGGCCTGCATGCTCTCCAATCTGGGACCCCTTGGGGGATATCCAACTGCCAATTTAGGCCTGATCCCACAGCAATCCAGACCACTGGCTCCTAACCATTCCCCTACCTGCCTGATCACCCCTAATTGCCCATCCCCCAACCCCCAGTGGTCTGCTTGCCCCAACTGCCCTCCCCTGCAGACACGGTCATACCCAACTCCCCACCCATGCAGGTATGGTCCCCCCAATTGCTCTCCCTTACAGCCCCCCACCCCCCAAAAAAAGATGCCCTTCCCTACAGGCCGACACCCCCAACTTCCCTCCTCTGCCAGCCTGGTCACCTCTAACTGCCATCCCTTGCAGGCTTGATCACCCCCAACTGCCCTCCCCTGCAGGCCTGGCCCTCCCCAACTGCCCTCCTCTGAAGGCCTGGTCACTTCCAACAGCCCTCCCCCGCAGGCCATCTTGTGTCCACATGGGGGTAGCCATCTTATATGTTAAGAGCGACAATTTGCATACTATTCTTTTATTAGATAGCATAGAGGCCTGGTGCACAGTTGGAGGCTGGCTGGTTTGCCCCAAAGGATGTCTCGGATCAGGGTGGGGGTTCCCTTGGGCAGTGGGGCAGCCTGGGTGAGGGGCCTCTGGTGGTTTGTAGGCCAGTCACACACCCCGGCGACCCAAGCTAAGGCCCTGATATCTGGGATTTATTTTGTATAACTGCAACTTTGTAGCCGCCAGCCAGGAAGCTTGGCTTCCTCCATTGCCAGGAAAATCCAAGCTTCCTGCTCGCTCCATGGCTGTAGCCATCTTGGTTGGATTAATTTGCATACTTGCTCCTGATTGGCTTGTGGGCATAGCAGAGGTATGGCCAATTTGCATATTTCTTTTATTAGTGTAGACGTGCTTTGTGAAAGATCAAATTCAAAGTGCATCAGATTTTAAAAACAAGTTTACTTTGACTCAGCAGTTCTGAGAATGTCTTGAAAGAATAATCAAAGATATTCAGGGACACAGCAGCATTTATATTAAAATTAAAAAATAGGAAGGCCGTAAGTGCTCAAAATAAGGATTCAATACATTAAGGTTCATCTACAAATGGAGCAGCTTTGAAAATGGTATGAATCTGTTATAAATACAACAGAATTATATTACATAACCCCTCTGAAAAATGTCTAGTGATCATTTAGAGATGACAGGTTTTCTATCATCCTACCTTTGTCTTTTTAATGTCTAGCTATAACATGATTTTGAAAAAGGATTTAAAAAGACTAAATACATTGATACATTATACAGAAACTTTTTTTCAGGTTAAGTGAAAGCTGACATGCTCAATCTGCAAATATTTCATGGGGGCTGGCAATATTATTTTAAATTTAAAATGTAGATTTATTATTTTTTTAAATCTTTTAAAAAATATATACTTCAGCTGAAGCCGATTTGGCTCAGTGGAAGAGTGTTGGTCTGCAGACTGAAAGGTCCCAGGTTTGATTACGGTCAAGGGCATGTACACTGGTTGCAGGCACATCCCCGGTAGGGGGTGTGCAAGAGGCAGTTGGCCGATGTTTCTCTCATTGACGTTTCTAGCTCTCTCTCTCTCTTCCTCTCCGTTAAAAATCAATAAAATATATATTTTTTTAAATAAAAAAAATATATATATATACATATATATATATATTTTCTACCCCCACCCCCCACCCCGAGAGGGAGGATAGTTAGAAACATTGAGGAGAAACATTGATCAGCTGCCTCCTGCATACCTTCAACTGGGGATGTGCCCACCAAGACACATGCCCTTGACGGGGATCAAACCAGGGACCTTTCAGTGCTCAGGCTGATGCTCTATCCCCTGAGGCAAACCAGTTAGGGCCAAAGTATTTATCTTTTGAAATAATAAAAAGAGCACTAACAATCTCAACCTAATTTGTTTTATAAAACAAATTCAAATTATTTTAAATAATTTTACCAAGTGTGTCATTATTACCCAAAGTCCTATCCTATTTCACTAGATCTAACAATTATTATCAATACTTATGCACTTGGGAGATAATGTATTCTCATAAAAGCAGTGCCACTGGTGGAAAACATTTATCGAGCTTTTTAAACCCAGATTACAGATGATAGAAAGTATATCTGTAATGAAAAAATGTTATCATTTGGTAAAATAAGAAATGAATATGCTAAGTGCTGGAAAAGTAAATTAAATCAGAAGAAATGTCTCAAATGAAAACTAAAAAATTGCAAGTTCTACAAACTTGCAAAGGTTGACAGTCTAAGTACTTTACATCAAATTCCACTTTAGAATCTATGGAGTCTTTCTTTGACATATTTTCATGCTTATTCTGGTCTTCAAATGGAATAAAAAGCTAATTTTTGGCAGTAGAGGCAGGAATTAGGGAGAGTAAGGGTAAAGTATATGTATGAGAAAAAAGCCATTAGGCCAAAGAACACATTGGTACCAAAGGTGACTTAGAACAATTCAAAGTGAGAATGGAGGACAAAGAGGGAAAGAGGCAATGTGAAGCCATTTCTTTATTTAAACATTTCCAGAATTCTCAATTGTGCAATGCCTGAGGGCTGCACATTTTTCTATTGATGCAACATGAAGGACAATTTAAAAAAATTAACAATTGCTTTTAAGTAAGACTATTTTATTAAAAAATTTTTCAAAATATAAAAATAATAAACATGGATATTAACAAACAAAACATAATTCAACTATAAATTAAAATGTTGACAACCTCACATAAACATGTAATACTATAATAAATAATCTAAGCATACAAAAGTAGTTTTCTAGTTCAAGTTTTACTTTTTTCAGTTCAAGTTTCGCTTAAAAAAAAAAAAAAAAAAAAAAAAAAAAAAAGCTGCTACAGCTTAACCAATTTCTTTCGCTCCATTCAAAGAGCAGGGAATTTTTCTCCATGCCAACGCGCATTCATGAAATGGATTCTTATGGGCACAGGTATTAAAAACTGGAACAATCCAGTCTCCAGACAAGAAAAGATTCCTTTGGTGTTTTAAGTTCAACAATCCACAGAAGTTGAGTTAAACCACTTATTAAAAGAAATCTTGTGCCAGACATGTTCTATCACATCCAGAACAGGTTCAGGATTCTGAGAATCAAAAATAAACAACTACAAATGCTTTGCTGATACTTAAAAAATTGTATCTTAAGAATGTTTACTAAGGTGCTGGAATAAAGTTTTGGAGATGTAGAAAACAATCTACATTAACACAAAACTTGTACAATGTAAATAATACATCTCTTTCCAACTCATCAAATGTTCTATAAATATTTAAGAATTACCCTGCCTCCTGTTGAGTAAAAGACAAATGGGAATTTAAAGTAGAACTTTCAGACTAGAAAAGTTTTCTATTTGAAATATAGGAAAACTGAGCCATGCTAAATGTTTCATTTTTTAATTTTAGCCAGGTTAACACAGTTCCTCTTATCAAAAGAGCCAATGATAAACTAAAAAAGCTGTTTCTTTTGGGGAAGCTGGGCAAAAATAAGAACATCATTCTGCTTATCTTTAAATAATGGGGTGTTTTCTAATTGTCTGGGCTCTGTACTCACCACAGACCACTTTTCTACTGATGTTGTTAGAATAAAACAAGTCAGAAGCAATCACAGATGAAAGCCTAGTAGTCCAAACAATTGATTCAAAAATGATATTGAAAGGTTTTATAGCACCAATGACTTTTTCCTAAGACACTTTGGGGCTGCATCACTTATTTATCTTGTAAACAAGACCAAAATATTCAATCTGTATTTTGAGCATAAATATTTATAAACTCTATTTTAAAAAACAAATATAAATAGCATGATTAGAGCAGCTAATAGTGTAAAATCCAAGTATATTAAAAATATATATAAAAACTTCCATAATGCAATCATGCAGAGGTAAACTGCATCATTCAATTACACAAGTGATTCTGTACAGTTATCTATACATAGCTTCATGAGAATCTTATTCATGAAAATGAAATAAAAATTCTTATCTTTAGCTAATCAACATATGGGGATTTAACTACTTAACTGATCTACTAGATCCCACAGCAATTTCCAAAAAGTGCAATGATCTTAATGAAAATCAAATCACCTTGACTCTGATTCAAATGGTAGTTCATTTTGTTTTGCTTTATTTTGCTTTTAATTTAAAGGCAAAGGAAAAACAGGAAGATGACAAAATAAAGTTGAGGGCAGTAGTATGTGGTCCACACCCATTAACCAACTAAAACTGTAAACAGCAAATATGGTCTCAAAAAACATTCTTTAGGTTTCTAACCTAGCACAGAAACTACTGTTAGATGGGCACTATTAGATGGAAACCACTATTCGATGAAAAAAATACTAAATTAATCTGAAAAAATATTTACAAACTCGTTATATGATAGTTTGCAAATATAAACTAAAATTAAAGTTTAATTTTAAAAAGGCCTTGTATACTAGGTCATAATTATGTTTGAACTCCTTCCAAAGTCTGTACTTTTCCTTCAAACCATACCTAATATTAACTATGCTATCTCCAACTAATGTGGATTAAAATAGATCATTTACATTATGATAGATATGTTCATTCTTTTTATTTTTCATGAAGACAAATGCAATGCACACTCAAAGTGTTTACAGAATGGTCAATTTTGTACGCAAAAAAAGTGAAAATATAGATGGACAAGGGTGAACAGAATCAAGTGTAGTCTGGACTTTCCTAACAAAGAGTTTGTATCAAGAATAACTTCTCAAATGCCTAAGGAGAATTTGAATATTCAAATACTGATTTTCTGAAAACTTTTTTAATGGAACCCATTATAAAAGGAGTGTTTTGGTAAATATCTGGGTTAAATTAAATCATGTTCTAGAAATAATTCTAAGCCATATTAACATTAGTAGTAATAAATATGAGCATATACGTTTTAAAATAGGAAAATTATAGTAGTCTTTAACAATGTAAGACATACAACATTCTTTCCTCCTTGCTTTCAAGATTGTCTTTGATATCTTGACTGTGAGAAAATATGGAAAAACCTTGTAAACTAGAGATATTTAATAGATACTTTTCAATATTTATACTCCATAGGTCATCCTGCAATTCTTGAAAAGAAAGAAAAATAGTCTCCTTGTTGGTTTTAAAGAGCTAAAAACTTTAAAATTATTCAGATAAGTGGTCTTGGGAACATATATTTAGAATATTTAGAATAGGCAAGTGTGTATAAAAAAAAAGTATTTTAACATCTGTCCAAAATTATTTAGGTGACTATTCTAACCCCAGAAATATACCTTTTTAAAGCCCAGAAATTTTAAAAGTAACCCATGCTTAATTTTTCAATCATTTTCTCCATTCTAAATTGTTCGTGTTCATTAACACAGCATCATCTCTTTACAGATTTCTTAGACACAATTTTGAACCTGACTGAGACTGAACTTATGTCATATTAGGAAACCAAGAGGTCTTTTGTCTTCTTACGGTGTAAAAGAAAAAAAGAAAATAAAGAAGAGGAAACATTTAAGAATAAGGCCAGACAAAATACACACTCAGATATACTTCTGGACTCAGATGTACCCTTAGAGAACTGTAAAGATAAAATGCTAATTATAGTACATGTAAACATCTATTCAAATTGATAGAAGGCAAACATAAAATGATAGAATTATTATAACAGTCGTCTCCAGACAGGAACAGATCTTGCTGTTGTAGTCACAAAGCTAAATTCAGGCAATGATGATCTCTCTCTGCTGGAAAAAGAGAAGACTATTAAAAAAAAAAAAAAAAAAAAAAAAGAACTCTGAAAATTGTAAATGAATATAAACATTGAATCACACCATAAATTGATCTCTAATTTTTCTAAACATAAAAAAGATCTACTTGAGAAAGGATCAAAATCAAAGCTATAGACAAATCTGTTTTAAAAAGCTTGATTTCTTAATGAAACCTCTGTGCATCATGCTTCCTTAAAATATTAAGTTATGCCCTAACCAGTTTGGCTCAGTGGATAGAGCATTGGTCAGCGGACTCAAGGGTCCCAGGTTCAATTCTGGTCAGAGGCATGTACCTTGATTGCGGGCACACCCCCAGGAGGGGGCGTGCAGGAGGCAGCTGATGGATGTTTCTCTCTCACTGATGTTTCTAACTCTTCCTCTCCCTTCCTCTCTGTAAAAAAATCAATAAAATACATTTTAAAAAATTAAGCTCCAAAGATCATAGCTCTACATGTTTATCATCTTAAAATTATGGTTAGGAAATGTAATAACTGACCAGATAGAAAATTTTATAGAGGTATAGGTAGGCAAAGTAATTTGAAAAAATCATGAGCAAATTCCAAGGTATTACATATAAAAATGAAAGCAAAAACAATTATCTTAAGTTTTCCCAAAATTTCATAGAAGTTTCATGGTATATCTACCTTAAACTCCATATGATAATCATGTCATTCTTTAGTTACACTATATGACATAAAATTGTATACTAAGCACAATGATTAACAAAAATAAGTAAAAGGAACACATCAAAATGCAGTGCTTGGTATATACAAGAAGGCTAATTTTGTATGATAGGGAGATGAGTAGGCAGATGAAATGAAGTAACAAGGAAGCAGGGATAAGAGCAAGTATAATAAACTGATATTAGAAAGGTAAAATAAAAAATGCTTTCAATTACACTAAGCAATGAATAACATAATACTTATAAACTGAAAGAAAATTTACCAGATAAGAAATTTTTCAACTAAACAATGTTTTCATTAGAAATTACTGAGCATGGCAGTCATGTCCACCAAAATTTGTTTTTGGGGACTCCTAGGCAGCTATTTTGGAAATTATCTGCTGTTATCTAACAGGTATATAATAATCAAAGAGAGAGAAAAAACTACTCTTCTCTAAATGCCTGCATACATACCTTAGAGCAACTAGCCAGTTCAAGAAGTTAACAAGAACAAGGTAGTTCCTGAGTCTAGGGCAAGGACATTTTTCTTTCTGCCTATAAATGTTATACACTCCTGATTTAATACTATGTTAAACTTCCATTTTTAATTTATAGGGTTTTAGAAGAGTAAGAAAAACCCTGAAAGACCAAAAAGTGAAATTACTTCATTAACCCAGAACTTCATGCAGGACATTTTTTGTTTTAAAAGAATAAAATACTTTTATAAGAGATTTAAAAAAAAAAAAAAAGCTTATATTTTTATATAAATTCTAGAAGAAGTAAAAATAATTTTCTATAAGTAATTCACATTGTAGGTAAGGGGAAAATGAAAATATAGATAAGGTTTGTATAATACTGTAAGATAGCCATTGATATTTTAACATACCAAACAAGCATCTGTTTGCTTGCTTCCTATAATCTTTAGAATCAATGATTAGTGTTCCATTTAAAATTGGAAATACACTCTTCATAAAACAGTTCTAGTAACAGGAAATTTCCTTCATTAAACTCAGCCATTCTTTCTACAGATAATCAGTTAAAACAGTGAAATCTTGTCTTCATAAAAAACTACCAACTGATACATTTGATCATATTACAATAAAACAAGCATTATGAAATACTCTCGCATTCTTACAACATAATTTCAATAAATGCTTGGGCAATGGTTAAATATTAAAATTAAATTTTAAAATGTTACAATTATCCTATAACATTTAAAACAACACTGCTTAGGCAGAGACATAAAATACTGAAATATGTAAAATGACAATTCAACCATCCCTTGAACTAATCCTAATCAATCTTTTATCCAATAATATATAATTCTCCTTAATTTTTTTCCTGTAAGCAGTAGTTAACTACATTGTTCTCAAGCATTTTTTCACTCCAAATTCAGCCCAGATCTATACTTACTATGACGACTGTATTTAAAAATGTGTTTAAAGTTTTAGGTAGCATATTGTAATAAGAAAGAGTTTTAAACATTGAATTCAGAAGTAAATGGAAGAGTTATAAGCAGAAAGGAAAAGTGCTAGAAAATACAGAAGTTAATCTATACTTCGTAGAATGAAATTTGTGGCGGCAATAGCAAACATTTGAGAACACTATATATAAAACTGTCCTAAGACACATTGTATGAATTATCATAACCAAATTGAAATTGTTTCAATTGATAAGACAGAAACAGTAGCAAAAGTATGTAGAATTGGTATATATTAAATTGTTTTAGATTAAACGCTAATATACACCAGGGAAGCTATAAATATGAAAGGAAACTTAGGAGATCATCTAGTCCAACCACTTTCATTTTATAGACAAGGAAACTGCCCTGGATAAGTTTAAGAGACTTATCTAAGGCCACAGCGAATTATAGAGCTGAGACCGAAAGCTAAATCTCAACCCTTTTCCAGTACTCTCCACTAGGGAATGAACTAGATATAAAAAATAGTGGGATGGACTAGATTAGTGACCCTTGCCATTTCTATTCTTATATATTAACAGAAACCAAAGGGCCAAAACTGACTACAATATTTAATTCCATAAAAATATTAATGCCTTAGTTTATGAAAATTCCACTAAGACTACCTGTGTATTCCCTCCATCAGCATTTGTAACCCCAGTGGTTACAAAATGGTCCCAATGACTAGCAAAATGGTCCCAATGACTGAGAAGAGCTTCAGGAGATATTTTTGAAAAATTGATAAGAATTAACAAGGGAGGTAATTGTCACTCCATTACTGGAGATTCAATTGTGCATTCATTCATTCATTCATCCAACAAAATCTTAGTGCCCACTATGAGCCAGCCTTTGTGATAATTACTAGAGATAAAAAGATGAATAAGACATGGTCCCCTTTCTAGAGGAGCTTGTAATCTAATGGGGAAGACAGACATATAAACCAGATAAATTATATTGCAATGTAAGTACTTGTAACAGAGATATGAACAAAGCGCTGTATTAAAAGGGAAGGTAAAGTTATGACTGGCTAATGACCAAGAAGTCCACTAGTATTGTGCAAGAATTACACATTCATTGTACACAATCTCATGCTCAATCAATCATAAGAAAGGAGGTAGCAAGGTAGTTTTTAAAAAACTGTAGCTGGCACTGAAATCAGAATTAGTGCATTTAATTCTATTCACTTGACTAGCAGTGACTTTGGGTAAGTCAATCTCTATTATCCCAAACATCCTTAGCTGTAAAATAGAAATTTGACGACTTATTTAAAGGGATAGCTTAAGTTTTGAATGAGAATAGATGAAAGTACAGGTAGACTACTAGTATTTATAAACATTAATTTCAAAAACTCAATAGCAATGAAAATCTAAGTAATATTTACAATTCAAATCATTGCTAAAAATATATTTGTGAATCTAATGCATGTTGCTAATATTTAGTCCCCATACTTCTGGACCAAACTGACATATACTTGCCTTCTGATTCATTCACAGAAAAATGGCTTAAAACATTTTAATTTTAGGTTATTAGAGAATGAAAAACTAGAAAGAGTAATTACCTATTTGTGAACTTAAATAATAGGTAATTTCAATTACATAAGGGATTTTACACTAATTTTTAAAATATCGAGCTAAAATTTATTAATCCAATTATAAAGCCAAAAATCAGCATGGAGATTTAACTGGCCTTTGAAATATTTTTTTTTCTTTATAATACCTGTTTGGTGTAAAGAGAAGAAACGTGAGCCTCTGCCAATTTGGCACCTTTCACGACTACTAAAAAGAAAAGAAAACAAACTTACCTAACAAATCAGAATAGTATATAGTCAACATACAAGAGACTACATAGAAATCTTAGATCTAGGTATAATAAAGAAGTTTTTGAGTAAAGTCACTATTTGGACAAAAGAAATGATTTTGAAATGTTAAATATAAACATATGCACTAATTGCAAGTCAAAACATTCCTATGAAATAGTATTACCATCAAGAACATTATGTATCTTTAACCCTAAGTGTGAAAAAAATCCACTAGTCATTCCACTGGTAAAAGCGTGTGGATGGTGGAATTAGTTTGTGATTGTGAGAACCACAGTATGGAAATAAAGTGATGTTTTTTATGTGACTTTTAATATAATCACTATAATCTCAGGAGGAGCAGAAACACTTGTAAACAAAACAATGAATGTAAAAATATAAATATGTATCCTCCCACCCCCTCATTCTACAAAGAATGCATTTATTTCCTGTATCAACTTTAAGTGATCATGTTCACTTGCCAGAGAAATCCACTTAAAAATCACAATATGTTGCAAATGTCAAATATTTTTATACAAGTATAGGAAACACACACTTAAAATATCAGACTGAAACACTTACCAAACAGTGTTTTCCTAAAGTGGTATCTATAGTACATTTCTTTATTCATACATCTTCAAATGGTCAAGTTTTCCTTCACACATCCAAAATGTAATGTGGTTTTCTTATTCACCAAATGTTAGCTCTACTTGAAGTCTGCTTCCAAACTAATCAGCCTGCTTTTAAATTTTAAGACATCTGTTGAAAATTTATAGGATCAAACCAAACTGAAGTGGTATAAATTTTAAACATTGGATTGTACATTATTATAAAGGTATCAGTAATCATTATTACTAAGAATAAGTTAGTGATTATAGCTCCTTTTGTGATAATTGGGGGAAAGGGTAGATCACCATTAGGAATGGTCTATTTTAACTTTTTTCTTTTTATCTTTTTTTTTTTTTTAAATCAAAGAACATCGTCTTGGTTGTGTGTTTTTTTTTTTTTCTGCCATTGCTTTTTTTTTCTTTTCTTTTCTTTTTAAAAGACCATTCCACTTTATTTTAAACATCTGAATGCATAAGGAGAGTCATATGCAAAGCAGTCATACACCATTATCATTGAAACCCATATGGTAAAATACATACACAAGTCCAACAAAAGGCTAATACATAGTAAAGCCTAAGCATACTACTATGTAATATTATGAATACATACTTGGAGACTTTAGTTAGAGTACTATGTTATCTATTCATTTTTGAAAACATTCATTAAGATTTTAAATGCAAATTCATTCCTTATTGGAGTAAAACAAATTCCTCTAAGTTATTACAAGTATTGGTCATAAGTTTTTAGACCTATTCATTAAATTACAAAGAACCCAAAGAATTCTGTATTGTTCAGTAGAAGTATGTAATAAAAACATTTCATGTTTCTAGTGTGATGTCTTTAGCAATTGTTTACTGAAATAAAATGCAAACATCAATCTTTCAAAATACAGGAGCAGAAGGTAGTTTTCTTTTCTTCTATTTGTGAAATCCATCTTCTCACATTTACCAAAAAATTGTTTTTACAAATATGTAAAAGTACATTAGGTAATACTAATGAAACACAGGTAGAGTTCTAGCATGTGCAGATCAATGATCAGTCAAATCATCTTCTCCAAGAACGAGATTCATTGTCCTCTTCTTCTTCATCATCATCTTGAAGTAATGAGTCATCCACCATAGACTCTTCCTGAAACTTTAGGTTAAAATGCATTTAGGAATTTACCCAAAAAAAAAGAAAAGAAAAAAGGTGACACTTTTAAACACTGATTTCTCTCAACAGAGTTGAATACAAAAGGCATTGCTATAGCTAGAACATTCAAGAAACAAAAAAACCTTTACTGACTGTGGTTTCTCTAAAGTATCTATTCTATTGCTTGCATCAAACAGGCACTAAAGAATTATCAAAGTAAGCTTTTCTACATGCCATTCTCCTGCCTCTCTTTACCAAATAATGCTATCTTCTCTATACCTACAAAACATTGTATAGTACCTTTTTTTTTTTTTTTTTAAAGAAAACATCAGTAAGTCTTCTCTGACTTACCCTAATGCTGGACACTAAATCAACCAATAAGTTGTATAAAAGTCTATCCAAGATTTTCTACTGTATGTAAACAAACATTTTTTTATAGCATTTCTTTTCTCCATTCCTTTCATAAAAGCTTCTCAGACTGCTTTTCAAGCTTTTCAAAATACCTAATACCAGGAGCTCTCCTGCTTTTCTCCCCATTCAATTCAAACTCATGGAAGGACAAAGGTATAATCTAAAATATAAAATGACAAATCATGTATATGAGTTTCAAAATACAATTTATTCTTGCATTTGACTATGGATATGCGTTAATAGCCTTGAACGCTCTTCAAACAAAATGAAGTGACACTGATAATCTAACAGAGGTAAACATGGTTTGTTTAGTGTCCCTCCCTTATCTTTATTTTTTAACTTCAACTTTTTTCCTACAGCTTACTTCATGATTAAACAAAATAGAGTTGATTAATCTTATGCTTGGAGTTGTTCAAAGGGCTCACTTGCCTTTATGCTCAGAACTCTCAGACTAACTGCTGTTACCCAAGAAATATGTGATTTCCACAATTATCTCTCTGCTTAAATATGCCTCTCAAATATATTTTCCCATCCAAGCTCTTGGTTTATGGAAAGCTTTATTACTTAGGGTTCAGTTCCACTGTCACCAACTCCTTCAAGATTCTTATGGACAGATATAATCACTCCTTCCTTTGAATTCCGACAGCATATTGTTCAAATCTTTATTCAGCATATCAGTCTTTTATAATTTGTTTCTTATGTGTCTGTTAACACCACCTCCCTTTCCAAATTATAAGCTCCATGACAGGGACCGTGTCTTATTCATTTTTATGCCTATCAGTATCTACCATATACCAGGCATTCATTCTAATGAACTAAAGCAATATGAATTAAAATAAAAAGTACCTGAAATATTAATAAAGCAATTGAGTATACTTTAAAACTTGAAATATTACAAGATTTCCTATGGATAAAAAAAAAAATCTAATAAATAATTATTCTTTTAAGAGTAAGTGAAAACTGTGTGTGTGTGTGATTTGCATATATTCTTTGGATTAGCAATCCACAGATTTCATTAAACTAGAAAATTTAAAGTTGTCTGCATTTATCTAATATCCCCTTCCTGAAATATGGTTCAGGAATAAAAATTTTATGTTAAAAATCATAGCCATAAAAATCACAATTTATATAAAAATGTGAACATTTAAGGGCAAAACCAAGTGAAAAAAACAAACATACTTCCTCTTCATCAGGTTCAACCTCTTCTGCTTCTACAGCTGAAATATTAGTTATTGGTTTATTCCATGCCAGTTTTAGATCCTGCCCTTTGAAACGAGCTCCATGAACTGCAGCCTAAAATAATTAAGAACATTGGAATATAGAACATTAATAAATTCTGAAGAAAAAAACATAGCACCTAATATTTAAATCAAATCACCTAAACACAGTGAAGACAGCTGTCTATTAATTTGATTTGTGGTTAATTATAACTATTTACTACTTATAATAATTTGCTTTATAAGGTTATTTCTAAAATTAGCCTAGAGATTGGAAATTCCTTTAAAAAGAAACAAGAACAATTTCTCACAATTAATTAGAGCTAACTGAGTACTGGCCATTATTTGACTACAAAAACTATGTTTATAATACAATAATTGCCATTTAAGGCAATAGCCTCAAAATATTGTACTTCAAGATTCTGAATCAAATTCTAAGTTAGAATTAACAGGCTAAATGTATATCTCTGCATTTTAATTCTTACTAATTTACAAATGACATACATAGTAACTATAAACTAGAAATTTTTAATAGAATTAGAATAATTTTGCATACATAAAGTATCACATTTTTATATTATATTACATGATCACAAATTGATATATCACTATTATATAAATATCTCAATGAAAGAAAAAATACTGAACTTTTCTATTATAAAGTACTTTCTACAAAGCTTCCAGAATTGGATACAAAACTTAAACTTAGTAAATAGTAAAAACTAAATACTTGCTGCATTAAGTGGCTGCTTTGGGAATAGTGGATTCAAATTAAAGTAACATGAACTAACATAAATCAATGTAAGAAACATACCAAAATAACTCATAGTCACAAAAGATTTATAACACAATCTCAAAGTATAGTACAATGTAAAATGTAGAAACAATTGCATGTTAAATGATATCTGACCATGAGTTGTGTGACATTAGAAGTCCCGAGGTGTAAATTTTAAATCTGTACATATAAATTTGTTACAAATCTAAAGGATTCCATGCCTAATAAAATGTAACTTAGAAGTTTTTAGTCCATGGCCTCCTCACAATGTCATATAACTAAAAACTTTTAAAGTACCTACTAGGTGTACTGGTTAATAACAGCAGATTTGTAATCAAAGAAAACACGATCATTTCAAGAGAAACATCAAAAGTGCTTTATTCAAAGTAATATCCATCACTAACTACATATTTCCCCCATCTATTAGGTAATTTGTGGATACCGTTCCAATAGAACTTTTCTTGTTTTGAGGCAAACCATTCAGAGACCCAATTTTCCACTTCTTCGTACATTTTGAAGTACTGCTCAGAAAGTGCATGTGCTACTGTTCAGAACAAGTGGTAATCTGGAGGAGCAAGGTCTGGTGAATACAGCGGGTGGATTAATACTTCCCAGGCAAGATCTTTTAACGTGTCTTTATCTGATTTTGGAGTGTGTGATGGTGCATCATCATAAAGCAAAATTACTTTGCCATGTCTTCTGGCACATTCTGGTCATTTCATGATTAAAGTGTGGTTCAAATTGATTATTTGTTGTTGGTAGCAATCAGTATTAACGGTTCACCTGGTTTTAGAAGCTCATAATACACCACATCTTCCTGATCCCACCAAAACAGAGCATTGTCTTCTTTCCAAAGTGATTTGGCCTTGTAGTTAATGTTTGACCTAGATCATCCCATGATTTTGTGCATTTAGGAATCTCAAAATAAATCCACTTTTCATTGCCAGTCACAATTAGATGCAAAAAAGACTTTCTTTCGTGCCACTGAAGCAACATTTTACTGATGCCTTTTTTGGTTTTCCATTTGTCTTTTGTTCAGTTGATGTGCCACCCATTTTCCTTCCTTTAAAATCTTTCCCACTGCCGGCACTGGTTTGGCTCAGTGGATAGAGCGTCGGCCTGTGGACTGAAAGGTCCCAGGTTGGATTCCGGTCAAGGGCATGTACCTTGGTGTGCAAGAGGCAGCTGGTCGATGATTCTCTCTCATCAATGTTTCTAACTCTCTATCCCTCTCTCTTCCTCTCTGTGAAAAATCAATAGAATATATTTAAAAAAAAAAAAATCTTTCCCACTGCTTATAAATTATCAGAAATTATTTGCTGAGCAACATTTAATCTTTCTGCAAGTTGTTTTTGAGTTTGACATGCATGTTCACCCAATAATGCCTGTAATTGTTGGTCTTCAAACTCTGTTGACCTGGACATTCTTTGTCTTTCATGTAGAAATCATCACTTTTAAAGCATTTAAACCAGCGTTCATAGATATCTTGAGATGTAGTGTGTTCAGCATAAGCTTCCTGAAGTATACCATAACTTTCAGCAGCACTTTTCTTCAAAATAAAGTAATAAATTAACACTTCCCCTCTTATTTTTAGCACGAAATTCGACATTTTTAAGTGTAAAAAATATCTGATGTTATGACCTTCAGCAAATTTGGCATGTGAAGTTTTTGAAGCCTGCTGTCAATACAACAAAATAGCACACATATCAAATTGTTTAGATATCAACATATGTGTAATTCCATCTATTAAAAAAAATCTGCATTATTAACTGATACACCTAGTGTATATGAGATTTAAGTCCAGAAACAATTTGTAATTTGTTACAAGTTGTAGCTATTACATCCTATATAAAAAAGGCTAATATGCAAATTGACCAGTCCCTATGACACACACTGACCACCAGGGATAGATGTTCAACTCAGGAGCTGCCCCTTGAGGGTCAGTGCACTCCCCTTCAGCCAGAAGCCAGGCTCACAGCTGGCGAGCACAGGAGCAGTGGCAGGAGCCTCTACCACCTCCGTGGCAGCACTTAAGGATGTTCAACTGCTGGCTTAGGCCCACTTAGTCAGACATCCCCTGAGGGCTCCTGGACTGTGAGAGGGCACAGGCTGGGCTGAGAACACCCCACCCACACACCCCACATACACACACACACACACACACACATACACACACCTCCCGAATCCACAAATTTCATGCACCAGGCCTCTAGTATACTATCAGGAAAAAAGAACTAGGAATATTAAACTTTTATTCCCAGAAATTATATTATTTGTGGTAAAGGTGGTATTTTTATTTTCAGACTTACATATACAGCACATAACTAATTATGTTGATGTCAGTGAAATGTTGAGTTTTCAGCATGAAAAAAGATAGGCTTCTCTAGACCTTTGCCTATTTATTCTTGCACATTATCATTAAAAGTTTGCAGTCATATACAGAACAGAAGGAAAAAAACGCTGAAGATCTGACAAAGATGGAGGAAGAAAAAAGCATGGAAAGTAGTTATGTGATGGGTTCAATATCTTACCTGGAAAATGGATCTGGAAATAATTAACATTTTGAAAAACTGGGGTTAAACAAAATTAAACTGAAGTGTTTACCTTCTGCCTTTACAAGTCACGTTAGATTGTGAATCTAAATAAAATACCCAAAATGCAGCTTTTCACAAACTTATCTGACGAAAGAATTCTTTGTTAGGGGAGCTCTTGTAGAATCAGTGTTCTATAAAAACAGTGTGGGAAAACTGACCTAAGGTCATAAGACTTAAAGCTGCTATCCTATCCTAGCATACCTTACATACCATAATGATTAAAGCTAATTTTTAAAAGAAGGCTAAAACCAAGTTTATTAATGTTTATAATAACCACAATATACAATGTTTATGCAGGAATTACATTAAAGGACCACAAATTTAAAAAGAAAGTAAATTCTAATTTTTAGAACTTACAGGGAAAGAATTCTTTCATTCCTTTAACTCTCGAGTTCAGGCTGCATGGCCACTTTCTAAGAAGTTTTAGACTGAGATTTACTAATTCTGGTAGTTCACTGCCCATCATATGACATTACCTAGTAACTGTTAAGTAAATCAGTAAAAAAATACACAAAAAATTCTTCTATAGACATGATTTTATGTCTCTTAATTGAATCCACTTAAATATACTGTTCTTAATATTAAGTTTAGTATTTATTCAGTCAGCCCCATCAACTATTAACTGCTTATGTTGCATTATCTTCTATGAACTCAATTTTATATTTCTACCTTCAGGTATAAAGAATGAGAGTTTTGAAGTAATTTACTCTTTCTTGTCCCTATTCAATTTCCAATCATTTCTCATTCTGAAAACAAACAAACAAACAAACAAACAAAAACCACAATGATTTTAATAATAGCTAACATTATAGCCAGAATTAAGATTTACTATGTCCCCAGGCATTATTCTAGGTACTCTGTAAGTTTTGAATTAGTAAATCCTCACCATTCTCTAGAGAAAAATTTCTTTGATGCTGTCTTACCAAACCACACAATGCCAAAATGTATGATTAAATAAAGAGTGAAGCAATAACTTTAAGGAAACACAAGATAACCTGTTGAAAACAGTTCGAGGCACAGGTGTAAAAAATGCACAGAACAAGATTCACTTTCCTTTTGATATATAAAGTTATACACCTCTTGGTGTTTAAAACTGATTCTTATAAAATAGGAACTTAACTGCTCCTTTACTAAAATTGGATCCTCGTATATTACAAAGGTATAGGAATAATTCAGAGTACTAAAAATAACATTCTAATCAGTCATGGGAAGAGACTATGTTTTTCTGAACTGTTTGGGTACTTTATCCAACTTTAGTAAATAGGGTGGTGATAGGAAAAGAGAAAATAAAGCAGTAGGAACCATCTTCTAACTAAATCAAATCATAATCATCTTAGCCTAAAGCTAAAAGTGTTCTATTTATATTATTCCATAAAATATTTTGATCTTTTTTCCTAGGGAAAATTTCTCCCTTTTCAGTTGTTATATTTGAAATAGAGGCCCAGTGCATGAAATTTGTGCACAGGTGGGGTCCCTAGGCCTGGCCTGCGATCAGGGCTGATAGGGGCTAGGCTGATCAAGGCAGAGCTGGAGAGAAGGCGATGATCGCCAGGGCCAGATGCGGAAGGAACGGATGCTGGCACTGCCATCATCAGCAACCTGCCACCGTGCGGTTCCCCACCTCCCATCTTCCTCCTTCCCTAGCCACCACGCCACCACTGGGGCAGGCTGATCAGGGCTTGCCAGCCAGGGGGCAGGGATGGGGAACAGGAGGTTGGCCACTGGCCCTGAGGAAGGAGCCAGCCCTCACATCCCTGGGAAAGAGGCCACGTCCACCGTCAACCCGGCCCGCACGCTGGCAGGAAATATTTACTACAAAAACGATAAATCAATATTTGGAAGCTATTTCACAACTTTTTAGACCACACTCAACTTAAAACTTCTGTAAACTATCCAAAAAATTCATTCACATTAAATTAACTGTTTAGAACATTTAATGCATTTTTGCTAAGGACAAACTGGTGCATCTATTTCTCTCAAGTCTGAACAAAGAACACACAAGGTTCCTATAAATTCCACACATCTCATACCCATTTTTCTTTTTTAAGCTTTTAAACCCATAAGAAAGACAAGGTTGCATAGACTTCTGGTCATTCAGTGGAAAGACTATTCAAAATAGTCTATGACAACTGTACTAAAAGGACCCTAAAAGCTAGAACTTTATATCATGTCTTGGGCAAAAAGTTGCAGGGGTCTAATTGGGCATATACTGATTATGGAAACTTCTTTAGGGTTCAGTCAAAAGGTACTAGGAAGCAGCAGATGAAGGATGATTAAGACAGGCAGCCATGAGAATTATATTTCAGTCTGCCAAAGAAGACTTTGTTCTAGGCCATCTGAGGAAAAGTGAAGTGAAAGAAAAAAGAAACATAATTCGTGATGTCTCAAAAGAATATAACTTGACATCCAACTTGGTGACTATACATTCTAATTATAACATGTTACATACTAGAGGCCTGGTGCATGTAATTCGTGCACAGGTAGGGACGCTAGGCCTGGCCAGTGATCAGGACATTCTGGCTGCCATCTGGAGCCTTCCTTCATTCTGTGCCACCTCCTGGTGGTCAGCACACGTCGTAGCAAGTAATCAAACTCTCAGTCTCCCGGTTGAACTCTCAAGGAGACACTTTGCATATTAGCCTTTATATATATATACACACACACACACACACACACACACACACATACATACACACACAGTATATATATATATGAGACATTTTTTGTGGCCTTGAATTCTACTGATATATTCTATCTATTGCCAAAGTGTAGTTATGTAGAAAGTTTTAAAAATTCATTTATATTAAAACTTAAAGGCAAGATTTATAAAATATTTAAATCTGAATCTTTTGTAAATCAGATCTTTTATAATACTTACTGCTTCAGCTTCTGCTCTTGTCTTGAATGTAATTATTGCATGAAGTGAAGAGTCATCAATCTGACAATCTTCAATTTCACCATATTGCTTTAAATTAAAAACAAGTATTTCCTCCAAATAAATATTTTGAAATATCTAAAATCCTAGTGATTATGTAAAATGTTAAAATATCAAACTATAACCCAGAATACAAAACAATTCATGGTAACAGAAAAAAAAAGGTAAATAATTCATTTTTGTACTTAATATTGTTAGATAGAGAGTGGTCCTATCTTCCAAATACAATCTATAATTTTACACTTTCTAAATAGTCATTGACTATTCTTTAAATAAAGAAAAAATAATTCTTATTGTCTTTCCTTTCATATTTATTTTCATCCCAGAATATGCTAAATTCTTTCTAAAGCAGAATATTTAATCCTCAGAATATTCTTAGTGTTTGTTTGTTTGTTTGTTTTAGTTTCACCCAATTTAAAAATGGGATGAAAAAAGACTAAGAGAAGTTAAGTAATCCCCCCAAAAAATAATTAAGTTAATTACTAGGATAAGTGTGCAACTCTTTTGATCCTGCTTTCACTCTTACTTTGATTCCTGTGGACCACACAGACTATCTTTTCAGGCATTTAAAAGCTAAACATATGAAATTATGCTTGTTTCATATGCTGGGTTTTATTTTTCACATGTGAAGGAAGATTTTTCTATAAACAGCAACTTTTATCATATAAAATTCTAGTCCATGGTCTGGCTGGTGTTGCTCAGTGATTAAAGTGTTGGCCCACGCACTGAAGGTCGCAGGCTTAACTCATGGTCAAGGACACATACCTGGGTTGCAGGTTCAATCCTCAGCCCTAGTTGGGGCATATGAGGCAGACAACCAATTGATATGTCTCTCACACATTGACGTTTCTGTCTCCCTCTCCCCCACTTTCTCTCTTTCCCTCTTCCTCTATCTCCCTTCTATTCTCTCTAAAAATCAATGGAAAAAATATTCTTAGGTAAGGATTTAAAAAAAAAATTCTAGTCCTTTATATATCATTACTAATACCTTCCTTATTTCTTACATAAAAATAAAATTATAAACACGCTTTCATTAAATGCACACACACCCATACAGAAAAACTCTGTATAGTTAAGAGAATGAACTTTAGAATCAGTCAGATCCAAGCTCTGTCAGTTAAAAGCTGTGTAAATTTGATTAAGTTATTTAATTTCTTCATGCTTCATTTTCCTCATCTCTAAAATGAGGTACAATAAAGGTACCTACCTCTTAGAGTTGTCAAGATAATTCAAAAGATAGTGACTTATATAAGGCACTCAGAATTAACACTTCCCCCCCAAAAAGTGCTTATAAGTTTTATGCTATAATTTTTATCCACTGCGACCAGTAGCAGTTTCCTTTCTAGGTTGGCTAGACCTAGAATACAGTATTAACAAATAAAATTCCATCTTAATTTTAAAAATCTGGATGACTCATGCAACATGCTAAATTTTTCCTTAAAAGTACCAAGTAAAAGTAAACTACAGGACTTCCCTCTCTAGAGCAATACTTTAAATCACAATACTTTCAAGCCTCACTAAAACTAAGAATAATTAAACAAAAACACCTACAGCTTATTTTTTAAATAATTAATAAGACAATTATAAAGTAATCAAACTCTTTGGTCAAATTAATGGGTTTAAATTACTCATGTCATTTTCATAATTTCCCCTTTAATATATCTATTAATCCCCAACAATGATTATCAATATTTGTTTTGTTGCTCAGTAAGAAAATACCGCAAAATGAGGAAGAAGATCTTCTCTATCACTCTCTGTAAATGCAGAAATCTCCAATGCCCTGGGACGGTGATCCACCACAGCATGACCAAGTACACCTCGACCTCGACCTCGACCTCGACCTCGAACTCGACCCCGACCCCTGCCTCTGCCATGAGCTGCACCTCGACCTCTTGAATGGACTCCTCTGCCCCGACCAGATGAAAGAATCCCTCGTTTGGCAGCCTAGAGGAAGTCAAACACACAAGTTAAAGACCACAATAACTAACACAGCCATGCGTTATACTTTGTCAGGCGAGTCAAACTTTTATACAATTTGATAACTTATTCAAATAATGCCCTAAGAAAAGATCTCATAATTTTAAGCTGAGATTTTAGTTTTTAAAGTGAAAGCAAATTTATGTAGCTAATAAATTTAGAAAACAAAATAACATTAATTTAAGCAATGTTTTGAAATTATTGAATGTGTTAAACTATTAAATGATCATTTGGTTTTAAAAATCCCATCAATACAGGCATCAAGCTCTAGAATGGAGAAAACACAATTTCTATACTAACATACAGAAATCTATCTTCTCCAAAACCTGTTAATTTGGGCAGGTCACACAGGTAACCATATCAAGTTTCCAGAGAATGAAAAGTGTGCAAGTTTAAGACATCATCTTATGGCTTCTTATGACTGTTAGATAAGACGGCACCTTAAAACAAACACAGTAGTTGCTAAATATTAAGTCTGTAGTGTGTCGAAAAAAGATGATCAAATTGCTAACAAATTTGGGGAAAAAGTATTATTTGACCAAAAGTAATAATCAAAAACATAAAATTAAATTGTGACATTAAACAATAATATAGACAAGTACCAATTAATGACATTAATGTCTCCATACTTAAAATGTAATTCTGATTTTTAAACATCATTTTGCTAAATGTTAAAAATTCTCATACACAGAAATCAATTTCACTTGATTTTCATTATACAATCATATGACTATTAAGAAAGTAGTTTACTTTCTCTTTTATAAACATCCACAGCACCATCTATAGGCAAAACTTAAGTAAGCATGTTCTTTGATATAGTTCGATCACTAGAAGTTTACTATGTATAGAACTTAATATTATAAATCTATTTATGCCTAGGGTATCTCTGAAAGAATGCCTGAAAACCAAAAATAGAAAAGTAATAAAATTCAATAGAAGTGGAAGGTACGTAGGTAGAACTGTTGCTACCCCTCACTTATCATGTAACAGATTTCTCTACTAGCTCTGAAAATTTTGTTAATCTTTTCCCTCTTTCCTATATCAATTCCCAATATGTATGCCAAAGAAAACCCACAACTGTTGACTAGAATGAGGGAATTGTGTTTTCAAATTAACCACTGTAACTACATCAACTTCTCTTTAGTACACTGTGTAGCTATGATGAAACATACTTCCAGCTGTAATTCTGTATACTTTCTCCTAAGTTCAGTGACTTCTTCTCCAGCTTGCATCTTCTTATACAAATCCAGCTCTGTGTCAAGTAATTCTTTCTGCATCTAGAAAATAATAATTAATATTCTGGGTGACAATTAACATCCTGCATTTAAACAAAACATTTTACAAAGAACTTGTATACATTCCCATTTCATCTGTACATTTCTTTTCTATCATCAGTCTTACCAACCTAGTTCAAGCCATTAATCACCTCTAGTCTACAATACTGCTAGCTTTCTAACTTGTTCCTATTTCCAATAATTTCCCTATAATTCACTTTCCATAAATAACCCTGGGATTTTAATGGACTAGTATTAAGTAATTTTCAGAAAATAACTGAAAGCAAAATACCAAGGTATTAACAAGCAATATATAGTATGCTTTCATGTAGGAAAGAACCCATTCACACACACACACACACACACACACACACACACACACACACCCAAAGGAGAGAAGAGTAGGGAATAGTGTTAGGAATCAATGGGGAAAACCTTCTATATATACCTTTTCATAGTTTAATTTTTGAGTCATGTTAATGTTTCACATATTCAAAAAATTAAATCAGCAAAAATAAGGGGGATCCAAACTGAATACATACAGAAATATACCCAACTTTATCAAATTAATAATAGAACCACGCAAAAAGAAAAAGTAATCCTACACCACAGTTCTGATTTTATACCTTTAGTGGAATGTATTGTGAAGTTATAAAGAATGTAAATAAATTCTAAATTTTAGATTTAGTTAGTTGTTGGAAGTGCTACTGTTGTAACAATTCTGAGACTATTTGGAATTTATTACAGGACTAAGCAAGTGAGTGCGGTGTTGACTTTAGTGGAAAACAAGTTGTCATTATGGGAAAAGAGAGAAAAAATAAGGAAATGAAGAAAGAAAGAATCCCATTATGTTGGATTAGAATCAGAAATTTCAACAGGAACTAATGATTTTATACATGTATACACATACCAAATATAAATATTGTATAAAACACTGTTTTAATACAATTTTCTTAAGCACTTATTATCATCTGAAATTAACTTGCTCACTTATTTGTTATCTAATAAATTATCTCCTGGTTCAATAAATACATTCTGTAGAGTGCGGTCAGAATGTTACTTCTCTGTTCGCTAATGTTTTATAACACAAACACCTTACAAAATAAAGCTCAAACTCCTCAGTCAAGCATTTAAGTACCTATTACCATTTTGTCTTCAGGTTACCTTTTCAAGATTATCCATAACTATTTTCCTAATTATTAACTTTCCTACTGTAATCCACAGAATTCAAAAATATTAGTACAGTTTGCTTGTGTTTATTTACTTATTAATTAATGGAGAAAGAGGAGAATCGTAGCATACTATGGTTAGATTTTTGAGCAAAGGATATAACCTACAAGGAAAATGAACCTTTAAACAATGTGTTTTCTGATCCTCCACCTAATGTAGTCACCAATAATACCAAACACCTTGGTCATCCAGCAGGACCATGGGAGGGGCAAGAAAGTATAATTACACAGGGGTCTCTACCCAGCTTCCCTTTTGTATGACACAAAATCAAAACACTGCCCCTTTGTGTGTAAAATTGAAAAGCGGTGTTTGGCTTGTGTGGACACCAAAGAAAGGGTGTCACTATTATCACTACTAGCCCTTGGGAAAGGTGTAGAAAATGTAACTAAGACCTAGTCCATATAAAAAGAAATGGACAGCCAGTATGAAATGGAATTGCATGGCCTAGTACAAAGAATATCCTTAAATGATATTATTCTACAATGTCATTAAAATTTTCCCCAGATTTGTGTTATCCCAATTACTTATAATAGTATCTTGAACCCTTGGGGATCAATAAAAAAAAAAATCACCTTTTTGGTGCTTGGAGACAAAGGTAACACATCTCTTGATATTCTAAAATTACAACAGCATAATATACAATTACCCCAAGCAAACTTATAAATTAACTCTTTGAATGTCTGGCTGCAATTTAAAAAGGACATGAAAGGATTTATTCCCTTCCATTGTGTAGAGGGCCTCCTAGGAAGACACCTGAGCATTCTATATTGGCCCCTCTTGCTCTTTTGGCCAAGAGGGACATTCTTCTCACAATCCAATTGCCCACAGCTGCTGCCTGAGCTTTCTGTTCATGTCGAGGTTGAAGCCTCGTGATAACTGGTACCATGGATCTGTCTCTCACCCAGTGGGGCAAGCTGGGCACTCCCTGAAGAAGAAACCTGGGTTTCCCAAGATACATGATCAGTGCTGGGCCCCCACCAGCAGGCGCATAGGATACCAAGAAGACAGAACTGAACCTCACATCACCCTTCTTGGCCCCAGAGGATGGCTGGTTAGCCAGTGACAGGTAAGATTACTCAGGGAAGAACAACTAAGACAGGCACAGTCGAAGAGGGGCCATCAGGAGAGAACTTGGTGATCAACTGAGGTGGGGCACAGACCCTCACCCCCTCAACTTTGCAGGGACATGAAACCTCACTCCTGCTGAAGGATTCTCCTGCCCCATGGCTGCTTAACTTCCCATGTCCAGCTCAAACCGGGACCCGGGTAAAAGACAGAGACTTTGCTGACAGCAGCTGCCCTCGCACTACAAGAAGACTTGTTTGAATTGTATTGTAAACATGGTGTGGGGAAGTGGGTTTTTGATATCTAAATCTAGCCTACCACCAGGAATGCTCAGGGCCTACTCAAGAAGGCAAATAATCCTTTCCCCTAATATTCACATGGTAAAATAAAATTGACTTAGAGTAATAAATTTGACAGTTAAATAGTAGACAAGTTTTCAGGCTAATTTAAAGTGGCTAATTGAAATAAGTGAATATTCTAGAAAAACTAGTTGCACTAGACAAAAAGCTGTTCCTAAGGAGTTAACTAAAATTTTTATTGGTAGTTCATCTCAGGATAAAATCTCAATAGGAAATGAACCTAAAGCAGTCATATTATAATGCAAAAAATTAAAATTTAAAAGCTATCAAGACTACATTATAAAATTTTCAAAAGCCTCCTAATATTTAAATCAAAAAGGGAGCAAAGTAGAAGAATATCATGTAAGGAAAAATATCCTGTAAGTAAATTACATCTAAAAAATTTGTACTTTTTAATTAATTGTAGTGCTAACAGCAAGACACCCATGAAAAGCATACATGGTATCAAAACAAGCCAGAGCAAAATCATTTCGGCAAAAAATGGAAAAGTCAAATATACAGAAAATATTCCTTTATTAGCTTTGGTGGAGAATATGTTTGTATATTTTCAGAAAACAATTCCGAGACCCTGTGGATTCTGGAAACAGAGAGGAATTGACAGGGCTAATCCAGCCATGAAGACAGAAGAGAAGCAGTCCAGAGATGGAAGACACTGATGACACCTTGCCATAATAGCAGTCAGCAGCTATGTATCACTGCAGGTTGCCCAAGACCAAACCAGAGAGGGTTGGACCTGCATTACCACCATTTGTCCACCATCCAGAACTAAAATATCATTGCTGACATGTATACATAAGGAACTGTTTGACATTGAAATTGGGTCTCAAAAGAACTGTTGGCCCAGAAAGAAACTCACTACAGACTGATTCATATGCCTTTGAGCATTATGATTATTGCTTGTCTCATTTTTGATTCTTATAAATATATCCAGTATAGATGAACTCACTCATCTAGGGGAAATGGTGAACAACATAGACAGATGAACAAGAACAGACCCAGAGATAAGGAGCCATGGGTCAGACTGTTGGACCTCAAAGGGAGGGTGGGGATAAAAGGGAGAGACCAACCAAAGTACTTATGTGCATACATATGAGCCTAACCAGTGGTCAAAGACAATAGGGGGTAGGGGAATGAGTGAGGAGAGGTGGGGGAGTGGAATGGGGGGTTGAGGACAACATGTGATACCTTAATCAATAAAAAAATTATAATAATAAAAATTAAAAAAAACACAATGTGTTTTAATGTTTTCTTAAAGAACATAAAGAAAAACAACACAAATAAAAATACCTGAGTCTTGGTTTTTATACTTTTTGGAAGACAGCGTCCAGGAGAAGTAGCTTTGACCTCATCTTTCAACTTGGTAATATTTTTTGTCAAAACCTCTAAAGTTTTCATTATTTCTGCTTTATCTTCAGACTTCATTGCTTTGTTTTTCTCCAGTTTTGATATTAACATCTGCGAGATTTTTTAAAAGAGAAAAATAGAAGATACTTAATCCTCCTATTAACAAAACAAACATAGCAAACTAAATATAAAAATAAGTATCTACTAGTTTTAGTTTATGTATTCATAACAAGGATTATAACCACTAATATACCAGAGTGGTGATGCTAACTATCTCAATTCAAGCCTTACTCTTGTGAAGAACTATAGTATTACTCTTTGGGTCTGTCTCTTAGAACACAAGAAATTCATTTCAATCCCTGAAAGGCTGTCTATTTGAAATAGTATTAACAATTTTTACTTTCTAATCAATTTGTTAATATTACTGCCTCTCCTGTATTCATGATCCAAAAGGAATCTATAACCTACAATGAATCACAGGAAAAATTCTCCTTTCCCATCATATAATAAGGTTTAGGAAAATTAAAAGTGTAATTACTTTCTTTATCATGAGGAAACTACCTAGCTACCCTAGGAATGGTAACACCACCATGGACAGGAAACGAGAAGAGAAACAGGGTATTATAGGATAGAAGATGCCATACAACATTATAGGTTCTCTGAGTCAAAATGGTTTCAGTTTTTGGTATAAAGCACCATAATTTCTCTTTATCAAGCATATCCAAACTTAAATTATAAAAGACAGACATTTCAGACTAAAATGTATACTTTTTGTATTTTCAATATTTGGAAATGTCATAACTTTTATTATTACATATAATTTAAGAACTTACATTAAAGTAATGTCATAAGCTAAAGACATAAAGAAATACTGTAAGCCACAGAAGTAATTTTTAATTTTCTAGCAGTCACTTTAAAAAGATGAAAGAGATATAGTAAAATTAATTTAATAATATATTCTATTTAACAAAAAATATTCAAAATATTACATCACAACAAAAATTATTGAGAGTTTTTTCACACTATAACTTTGAAATCTGGTGAAATATTTTTTTACACTCATACCACATCTCAACTTGGACTAGACACATTTCAAGTAAATAATAGTCAGATATAGCAATTAAATAAAGGTCCATCTCAATATTGAGAAAAAGATTCTATTTTACTATTGTTGAATAAAGGACTACACAGCAATATACTTGGATAAATACTCCTTATTTTCATTTCAAATTTGATAACCATAGTTCCATTCAAACTACTTCAATTCCCAGTCCACATTTCAATGTATGCTCTTCATGTCCAATATACTACTATATCAATTGATAATATACTTTATCACTGATAATATCTTAGTTTTACCATATCAATTACAATAATTATGTTTCTCAGTAATATATCTATATATATAGTGTAAGATTAATTTCACTCAAAGCTGTAACATTTATAAATATATATTGCCAAATCTAGTTGTTAATATTTTACCTTCTGTGTTTCAATGTGCTTTTCTAAAATTTCTTGTTTTCTTTTCCTTACATCCTGCTGAAGTTTCAGTGCCTCCTAGAGGAAGAGACCAAAAATATCATTAGAATACTGACCGTTTATTAGAAACAAAATGACTTAAGAGGACAGAAATGGTTGTAACTGCAGAAGCTTGGCAACAATTAAATGAAAACTTTTCCTATGTCACACTGAAATATGTATGCAAGTTTTAAAAGATCAGGAGAACCTATCATTCCAAGAAAAATATTAATACAATATTTACTGCTACACTATGAGAAATAAAGTTCAGTGACAGCCAACATACTCCTTTTAAATTGCATTTTGTTATGAGCACTGAAAAAACAGATACATGCAGAAGAGCGTTTCTACATGCAAATTTTGTACAATAATAGTTGTACTTACCTGTTTTTTTTTCTGTGCTTCATTATTATCAACTGCAGAGGGGGAAACAAGTAAGGTTTTTTGTGCAGCCTTCAAAGCAGCTGGATTATACACTGTTTTTGTTAGGCCAGTAGATGTAGATAACACCTACCAAAAAAATTCAATTTTGTGAAAAAAAATGTATCAGACATTCATGATTTTCTGAGTCCCATTTTCTTATAAAATAACATTAAATCACTTCTGTTAAAATTTAGTACAGTGAATTGAATGTATTGATTTGAAAGAAGGGAATGAATAATGAATAAACTGAAATAAAAAAATTAATACATCTATAGGAAAAAAGTAAAAACAAACATAAAAACTTCAAGAAAAAACACTATCAATACTATATTTGAGAAAATATTAGTTGCTAAATACCTGTGCTAGTATTTCTACTAACTAAAATAAAATCTGTGCATAACAGCATGGCACAGGAAAAAACTGGATACTGTCCTTCAAACAATTTGCAACTGTTTGGCCCTTAAAATCACTTGCAATTTTACAGTTTGGAAATTAACTTTGTTGATTTCTTTCTCCATATCTTTGCTGGCACTGCTCCTTCTACTTTGAGTTGACCATATACTTTTAAACCCAGCTCAAGTTCAACACGAGCAGCCAAGACCTCCACAAAGTTCTAATCATTTTTTTCCCCCTTACTCAGGTCCTTCTATGAAATTTAATCCTTTAGCTATTAAATTATTTAATAAAAATGATCTGATGATATATTGTTTCTCACCCTGTCTACGCTACAAGGGCCTTGAAACAAAAAGCATGTCTTTCTCTTCTTTGCCCTTCTTCCAAATACCCAATTCTTGCTAATAATCCTATATAATAAAAAGCTAATATGCAAATTGTCCCCTCAACCGGGGGTTCAACAGGGAGTTCGCCCAGGGGGAAGGGCCAGCCAGCCAACCAACCGCCTGCGGCCCCTCCCCTCAGCCAGCTTGATTGGGCAGGCCGGCTGTATCCCACCCATTCACAAATTTGTGCACTGGACCTCTAGTTAATTACAAGACCCTGGGCAAATTCAAGTACTTTTCAGATCTCAGTTTGTTTTTCTATAAAATGAGACATTAGGTATCTTGATGATACCTAATGTCCTTAACCAACCCAGGAGAGTAGAGATTTTTTTTGCTTGTTTCATTGCTATATCTTCAGTGCCAAGAACAGTTCCAGCACACATTCTAAATATTCAATAAACACTTTGCATTAAATTAAACTGAAATGATGATAAATCCAAGTGGGCAACCTTTTCTACACTAAAGTCAAGTTAAGAAAAGTGTTTGGACTACTTTTTTATCCTTCAAAAGCAAAAGGTTGCAAGTTCCATGGGGTGGTTCGTTATTGGGTCTTGGAAAGGAGTCTAGGAATCACTTCAGGTCTGTGACTGCTATCTATTATAAAAACAAAACATTGAACCATATATATGAAGTCTTAAAGGAGTTCATGATCCTCCCAAGTCTTAAAGGAGTTCATGATCTAAAAAGACATTTAAAAACTACACTGAGTGGCCAGATCATTATGATCTCTGAACGCATAATAATCTGGCTACTCAGTGTATATCCTATATAATAAAAGGCTAATATGCAAATTGTCCCCTCGACTAGGAGTTCGACCATCAGGCAAGCTGGCTGGACCCCATCCAGGTAGAATTCATGCACTGGGCCTCTAATACACACAAACACACACATACACACACACACACACACACACACACACACACACACACTGAGTGGCCAGATTATTATGAGTTCAGAGATCATAATGATCTGGCCATTCAATGTATATAAATAAGAATGTATCAATGAATAAAAAACCCCTACTCTCTAGCTACTAAAATGTAAATATCTGGATACCAGAGAAGTAGCAATCTGGACACTGCATTATAATCTTTTATCATGAAATAGATTAGGGAACATCACAAAATTTATGTAACTCATCACTATGCCTATTATTTAAGAATGCTAGCTTCTAAAAAAACAAAACCGCAGAATACTGTAACTTACACTATATATATAGATGTACATACACACACACACACACACACACACACACACACACACACACACTAGTGGCCTGGTGCACAAAATTCATGCATAAGGCTTGAGGAGGAGAGGAGGGGGTCCCTCAGCCCACCCTGCACCCTCTCGAAATCTAGGACTGCTGGCTCCTAACCGCTCACTTACCTGCCTGCCTGATCGCCACCAACCACCCCCTACTGCCACGCCCACCAGCCTGCTCGCCGCTAACTGCCACCCCTGCTGGCCTGATCACCACCAACTGCCCCTCGCATGCCAGCCTGCTCACCCCCAAATGGCCCCCCTGCTGGCCTGCTTGCCCCCAACTATAACCCCCCTCTGACCTGATCGTCCCAACTGCCCTCCCCTCCTGGCCTAATCAGCCTTAACCTCCTCTACCTTGGCCCCGCCACCATGGTTTTGTCTGAAATAACGTCCAGAAGGTCTCCTGGTCTAATTAGCATATTACCCTTTTATTAGTGTGTGTGTGTGTGTGTGTGTGTGTGTGTGTGTATACACATACATATATACTAGGGGCCCAGTACATGAAATTTGTGCACTGGAGGAAAGGGAGTCCACTCAGCCCAGCCTGCCCCTTTTTCACAGACTGGGAGCCCTCAGGGGATGTCCTACTGACGGCTTAGGGGAGCGAGCCTAAGCTGCAATCTGGCTTCCCTCTGCGGGAGGCAACTGGGCTGAACAAGGGAAGGTGACAGCCCCACCACCCCACTGCTGCAGCCACTGCAACCACCAAGGTGTTTTCATCAACACGGACTCTAGTCCCTTCACCATGAAAAAACTGACAATTTTCTTTAGGCATTTTCAAGATGTGTCTTTCATAGAACATAACATTTTTTTTTTTTTCCCAATCCTCACCTGAGAATATGTTTCCATTGATTTTTAGAAAGTGTAGGAAAGAAAGGAAAAGAGAGAAAAAGATCAATGTGAGAGGGACACTTTGATTCGTTGCCTCCTGCATCAGCCCTGCCCTGGGCCCCACCAGGAAGGAGCCTGTAACCTAGGTACATGCCCTTGATCAGAATCAAACCTGGACCCTGCGGTCGACAGTCCGAGGCTCTATCCACTGAGCCAAACCAGCTAGGGTAGGTTATGACATTTCTTAGCCCCTCCAGCAGCAGACCTTCATTTTTTCTTCCAGGAGTGCAGTGGAAAAACCCTAAATCACCTTCTTGGATTTTTATAACCCATTACAGTACCAAGAACACTGTAAGTGGCAGCATATAGGGAGCTTTGCCAACGAGAAGTCAGAAAAGGTGTTTAGGCTCGAACTGGTTTGGCTCAGTGGATAGAGTGTCGGCCTACAGACTGTAGGGTCCCAGGTTTGATTTTGGTTAGAGGCACATCCCCAGTGAAGAGTGTGCAGCATGAGGCAGCTGATTGATGTTTCTCTTTCATCGATGTTTCCAACTGTCTATCCCTCTCCCCTCTTCTCTGTAAAAAAATCAATAAAATATATATATTTTTAAAAAGAAAAGTTGTTTCCTCCGCAGTTCATGCGCAGAGGACCCCCTGTGTTGTGTCCACTGGGCTAGGAGCGTGTCTCCACTACCCTGGGGGAATGGCCCCCATGCTGGCAGCCCTGCGTTGTGGGCAGGCTTTGCGCCAGTGCACGTAGCCGTGGGGCAGGAATATCTGCTTGGTGCCTGCGCCCATAGGCCTGGGCTGGCAGAGGCATTCTGGGACCTCAGCCACTCAGGGCCTACATGCGGGCTTACAGACTAGGAGTGGCATGGGTCCCAAGGATGTTCTGGGACCCAGGTCACTCAGCACCTGTGTATGCAAACCAACTCACCATCTTTGTTGGGTTAACGTGCATACTCACTCCTGATTAGCTAGTGAGCATAGCGGAGGTACAGTCAATTTACATGTATCTTTTTTATTATATTGGATATATGAGTTCAGAGATCATAATAATCTAGCCACTCAGAGTATATCCTATATAATAAAAGTCTAACATGCAAATTGTCCCCTCAACCAGGAGTTCAACCAGCAGGCAGGTCAGCCAACTGCCCATGTCCCCTCCCCCTGACCAGGATGGCCAGATCCCACCCATGCACAAATTCATGCATCATGCTTCTAATATATATATATACTGAGAGACCAGATTATTATGCACTCAGAAATCATAATAATCTGGCCCCTCAGAGTGTGTGTGTGTGTGTGTGTGTGTATCAAGAATTTATAAGTTTAAAGGAGATAATGTGAACAGCCTAAATCTTTTTAAAAAACTAACCAGGATGGTTTATGCAGATGCCTTTATTCTTCATAAATCTCCCTAAGGTAAGCAGAAACACTCAAACATCATCTGACTGATCTGTCTATTCAAATAATACCTATTTAATTGCTATTGCAGTATCTTAATATTTAGCTGTATCAATCAGGTTTTAAATTTCCTCTCTATTAGTCCTCTCACAAAAATGGAAACTTAGAAGAAGAATCATTAAAGGGTTTACTCAATGTTATTTACAAGAAAGAAATAAAGTTTTATATTTATGTATTTATTTGCTTTAAAAATGACAGAAGATACTGGGTGGATACTAGTATTGAGATTTTCCCTGCCCACAATAAAAAAAAAAAATTGTTTTAGTAATATTTGATGATGAACAATCTTCTATTTTTCCTAAGACTTCTCTGAATCACTGACCTCTGCAGCAAAAATCATTATGAACTAGGAAGAGAAAATAAAACTAAAATGCTACTCTTTAAACAAGTTCACTGAAGTTGACTGAAAGTAATATTTTAGAAATAACTGCTTTCCGCCGAAACCAGTTTGGCTCAGTGGATAGAGTGTCGGCCTGCAGACTGAAAGGTCCTGGGTTCAATTCCGATCAAGGGCATGTACTTTGGTTGCGGGCACATCCCCAATAGGGGGCGTGCAAGAGGCAGCTGATCGATGACTCTCTCTCATCGATGTTTCTAACTCTCTATCTCTCTTTCTTCCTCTCTGTAAAAAATCAATAAAATATATTTAAAAAAAAAAAAAATAACTGCTTTCCAGAAAATATTCTTTACAAGTTATTTCCTCCATAAATAGCGCAATGCCATTACTGATTTTTCATAAATTAAATTAGTGGTAACTATATTAATAAATTATACTATAACTTCCAAGAATGTCCCCCTTTTATCCTAAAGCTATATAAAACATGCTAAAGAAATTAAAACAGTAGCAAAAAAAAATAGTAGAAAAATTTTGTAAAAGCTTTAATTAGTACACTTCAAATTTGTACAAGTCCAAATGTCAACATAAACAGATCCTAACATCATCAGCTTTGTATACCTCCCCAGAACTGCTAAGAATAAAAGACTTATATAGTTCATTTATTCCTCAGCTACTTATCAAGGAAAACAAATGTAACCAAAGTAAATATTTATATACTGCTAAATTTAATAGCATAGACTAAGGGACACAAATGTAGAGTAAAGGTGGGTATCATATGAAGAAATGTGGAGGTTTCATAGAAGAGGTTAGTGATTTTTTTCAATCTTTAAGAGAATGACTAGAATTCAGTTAGGCAGAGGGAAATGCACTCCAGAAAAACCACCACCAAAAAATTAAAAAATTAAAAAGAGGCAGGAAATAGCAGAAAAAAGATTCCTTAGAAAAGAAAGGTCTAACGCAGACATAGTAACAGAACCAGAATAACTGAGGTATAATGACCTGTGAACCAAACTAAGTCATTTAGCTGGGGAAATGAAGGTTACTTTAAGCAACTAACATTAAAATAAGTTTGAAAGTAGGATGGTGGCAGAGTACACTAGATGAAGGTATGGCAGCTCTGAACTGTATCCATAGGCCAGGGGCCTGAAAGTGGTAGAAAAAGAGATGTGGACTGCAAACACAAGCAATGACTCTAAAGGCTTTTAAACTATACAAACTGGAAATTAGTGGTATTACTTTCAGAGGTAAGGCTAGGAGAAATTAATTTCTGTGGGAAATAATGAATCATATTAGGCATGTTATGCCTGAAGTAATGCTGAGGTGTCTAAGAAGGAAATCTGATTTAGTGAATGAAATTCATATTCAAGTATCTAGAACTGCCAAAGTTTTACACAGGAAATAAGGAAAACAATATACTGAACAAGTAGTAAAGAAAGCAAGTCAGCTATCTCATGGGGTGTTCATGAAGTCAATAATCTTCATAATGGACTAAAATAGGAGATCCAGATTCAAGTAACTCAAGTGTATAGATAGCCAAAACACTATTTGGGCCTTATCTTCCTTTAAGGTGAGGGTACAAAAATGGGAAACATTATCAAATTCTGATATACTGTGTTTCTATATATCTCAAATAAGACTAAAAATCAGGACATTCACTCATACCTAACCAGAAGAGAAGAGGAAAAAAAAAAAAAAAAAAAAAAAAAAGCCACATCTACACAAAACTAGAAGATTAGTCCATAAATGATCTTAATTTAATCAGCATTTGTCTTTATTTAAAAAAAAAAAAAAATGGCTAGATTTACTGACAGGCTATAAACAATAGCTATTATAAATAAAAATACTACATTTACATCATCTTTTCCAGTTTATAAAATACTTTTAAAATAAAATTTATTTAATCTCTCACAAAACTTTATGAGCAATATAAATATTACCATCACCATTTTATGATGAAGAAAAAGGTTCATAAAGATTAACAGCACTGCCCAATATCATGCAGTTAGTAAATAGAGAGTCAAAGCTCACACTCAAGTATAATTCCTAGTTCATGGCCCTTTCTTTTAGACTGCCAGAGTTTTCAAAATAAAATGTAAAAAATATCCCTAAAGAAAAGACAGTAAATACAAAGAAAAAGAAAGAATGAAGCACATGGAATCTATAATGAGCAAGTATTAAAATGCTGATGCAAAAAGTAAAAAAAAGGTAAGCAAATATTTTTATTTTCAGCAAATGGAAAGCAAAATGGTAGGAATAGAGATACATATACCATTAAGAAGCAAAAGTTTGAAACTATGAAAAAAATTAAAAAATTAAGATGCCATCTGAAAACATTTAGGAAGCCAAGACAAACACATCATGCTGCTTCTTACCTTTTCAGTTGCTGAAACAGATGGCTTTGATACAAAACCCAACCTGTCCTTCACAGATAATTTAGTTACATTCTAAAAAAATTAAAATGGACATATTCAGTGTTTCCCTAAACATATATGTCTGATGGGATTATGAACATTCTGATTCTACTAGCATATACTGACTTTGTAAGTATACTGATGTTAATCACAAAACTTGGATTTTTTTTCAAAGAGAGACAGAAAGAAAATGTGTATGGAAAAACTAACAGTATGTAATACAATAGTTATCATGAAAAACTATGATGTAAAATAAGATGTCTAAGCCAGGTGGTTGTTAAAGTCCCCTCCAATGATTCAGAACCATAAATACTTAAAATCCTATGTTGACCAATAGAAAGTTTGAACATTGTAAATATTAGGTTTGACTAAGTAAAGATGTACCTGCTTCTTGAGCTTAAAAATAAAAGTAATTCTTTCCTAAAGTAAGTTTTATTTTATAGCCAAATATATTACATTTGTTGATGATTTAGAAAAGGATTGGGTGGGGTTTATTAAGTAACTAATAATGTTCCAATTTACATTCTGTATGTTTAACAAAATCTCAATCTATTATTTTTTAAATAGAATCTTAATATATTACTTTTCAGGAAGACTACTGGAACAAGGTGTTATCCATTAGCTAAGTAGGATAGTATAACCTAACTTTATTTTATACAAATGCTGAAACATCTGGAGACAAAGAAAAGGTAAGTTTTAGAGACTGGAGGTATAGAAATAAGAAACTGCCACTCAAATATGGAAGGGATTGGGAAGGGAATGACATATGGAAAAGAAAATCCAAGAGTCAGGAATAAGTGATACAAAGTTCTGCGAGTGTAATAAGTAACTTGAATCAGTAAGCCTTCCTGTCCCAATAGCTTTCAGTTCAGGCTACTGCATAATTATTTCTGAAATAGAATTCTAGTTAAGTCAAAGATGATGGGAAAAGTAAGATTTAGTACGCTGAACTTCACACTTTTCAGGCAGATTTGCTAGAAAAATAAGTCCTCCACAAAGTGAGAGCTCTTTCTTATAAATAAGTATTAACTAGAGAGAATTTAATATTCAAATAGTATAAAAAAAGTAGAATGTGAAAATGTTATAACAGTAACAAAAGTATGTATAGACTATCCTATTTCTATATAAAATATAGTTAACTATAATTCAAATCACCAAGGGAAACTAATTTACTCAGAACATACTATGCAACAGACACAATAAAACGACTTTTCACTTACCTGAGGAAGGTCTGCACTGGCACTCTGGGCTTCTGTTGGTTCAATGGTACTTGTAGGTACTGGACCCAACCGCTCTTTTACGGACTGCTTCACAACAGGCAAAATGGGCTGCTGGACTAAAGGCTGCATTACCTCAGAACAAGAAAAAAAAGTTAAATGTTCACGAGCATCAAAAATAACCTTTGTTATTTTGTTACTAAACTGCCCATGCAGAGAAAGTCTTAAGAGTGCAGCTTGTAATCAAAACCTAGCCACCTTCCAAATTTCTTCACTTTTTCCTTTGCACATAAAAACTTATTTATAAAGTAGAGAAAAAATTAAAATCTATACTTCAATACCTTCTTTCTTTTATTTTAATGAACAGTATACAAAAGTTAAAGAAACAATCTGCTATAAGACACCTCTATAAGCAATTAATCTAACATTACATATTGACTGATTCACTGATTTAAAGTGAGATGGAAGAAAGGAGAGAGGGAGGGAGGAAGGGAGAGAAAAAAGGATTTCCAAAATGAACCCATGTGTCTTTGTGTAATATGTAAAGCTATTATGTGCTAAGTGCCTGATATACCAGGGACTTTTTTCTATATATTTTATACATATCTTGTAATTGTTTAATAAACTAGGGCTTAACTTTCATAATAAAATGAAAGAAGAGAGATTAAATAACTTCCTTGAGTCTATATATTTAAAAGTGGTTGAGGCAGGATCTAAACTCAAAAAGTCTACCTGACTGCAATGCCTCTGCTCTTAAAAACTACCGTATGCTTTCTAAGCGCTTTCTATAAGCATTAATTTCACATAAATTTCTCTTACCTTTGGAGAAGTAGTTTGTAATTGCTGGGTGCCTCCTTCTCTGTGCCAATAAACCTTAATAAAGCGATTGTTTAGAACTGCTTCTGTACTTGATATTGCTTTCTTTGCTTCTTCATATGTTGCAAATTGGATAAGGGCACCTTCAGGATCACCATTATAGGCAACCTAAGGTATCAAATATTAAGAACAGTGAATTTCCAAATGAATCTGTTTTTTTCATACAGTAAAATTCCTCAACAAATATTGGTCCTCCTATGTAAGATTCTATCTTTATATTTCTTTAAATCTAAACTATTACCATAATCTTCTTTCACTCCAGAGAATGCAAGAGGCAACCAATCAATATGTCTCTCTCACATAAATGTTTCTCTGTGTCTTCCCCCCTCTCTTCCACTCTCTAAAAATCAATGGAAAAATATCTTGGGCAAGGGTTAACAAAACAAAAAAGAGTGCAAGAAAATTTAAGAAAAAAATAAATTTTACACATAAGTAAACTGAATTCAAAGAGCATATGATTCTGCAGACTCATATTAGTAAGTAGTAGATAGAAGGCTTTGCATTTCCAATTTTTTGTTCTTTTGGTTTTGAAAATTATCTTAAATTTAATATTACCAGTGTAGTTAGTTGTGTGAGAAAAAAATATTCCAGAAACTTTTTTGTATAAATCTAAATGTGACAGATCAATTAAATAGCCATAAAAAGATATTCACAAATAACTATAGGGTAATGTGTAAAGATGGGTCCATATCTTTTAAATTTTTTAAGGGTGTGCTTTGATTGACTGATCAGCCAATAAATATAGAAATGCAAAACAAAAAAATCTAGAATAATGCATGGTAAGTTGTTAACAATGATATAACTATATTATGGGATATATAGGAAGAGAAATGTAAGGGACACAAGTAATTGACATAGAAACATTTTTTTAAAATTCTATATAAATTTTTATTGCCCTGCCACAACCAAGCATGCAATTTTCATCTATTAGTTTTATATTATTTTAAATGGCAATAAAACAAAATTTTCCAAATTAATCAACTTAAGCTGTATTCTCTAAAATTTATTATTTTTATGGTGATGACAAATAATTTTTATTAAAAAAACTAAAAAAAGAAAGCCCACTATTATTTCAACACTTTTACATATTATATAATGTAAGTTCAATACTAAATAAACTTACAAATTATAGCCACCAAAGCCAAGGTCTAACTTTAGGTGAAGTCAAATACAAACTACACTGATATTTATCTTGAAAAATATTCAAAAATGGTACAGAAAAAAACAAATGTTTCAGCTAATTATGGATTACATGTATCTGGGCCCCATCTGTTAAATGTATCCCATCTCAGAGGCAGCAAAAATAATCTAACTAAAGCATCTTGTTGTAATGACTTATCTCACTAAATAATTAAACAAAGACAACATAATCACTTCAGAGTTCTTACCTGTAAGTTAACCAAAGTTCCAAATCGACTAAAATGTTCATTAAGTTTGCTGATATTATTTAATTCTGGTGGAACTTTTCTAAGTTCAAGTTTGGTGTTTTCATTTCCAAACTGAACCTTTTTCTGGAAGCCTGGGCTGTTTGTTCTATTAAAATTTGGTCTGTAACAAAAATCAAGTTAATTAATACATTCATTTATATATCCTATCCATTATCAAGTACAAAGAAATTACATTTTATTATTTAAGTTCTATTTTTTAAGACTGAAATTACTGGTTAATCATGGACATTTACATTTTTTTTTAAATAAAAAGTGAAGTCTCCAAATTAGTACATGTTCGCATCTTTCATGGAAGTCAACTGAGAAAGGCTCTTTCATATCACCTGTATTTTTGACATTTTCAATCTACTCCTACGTAAAATTCTTATAAGGAAAGGTCCTAGCACCCCATTTCAGTCAATTTGCATATATAACCTTTGTTCCATTTCTGCAAAAGCTAGCTTACTGAAATGTATCCTATTTTAAAACCTTGATTAAAAAGGTAAGGATGACTGTCTCACCTGCTTCTCAACCTAAAAAAAAAAAACATTCAGAACTATAGACCACACATTTGACACTTGGAAAAAAAGGATAAAACAATGGCCCTGAGAGGTAACAATGCTTGCCTTAAATCGCAGAATTAAAGCCAGAGGCAGAACTAGAAATTATCCACCTTTTAAGTGATGTTACAAAGCTCTAAAAATGTGTGATCTTAGTCTCTCCTCAAACATGAAAGTTTATAAATGAATCATCATAAACACCCCAACATTCTGATTCCTTACCTCTTTCACTGAAGCCCGTTTACAACTTCAGTCCCTATCCAGCCTTCCCCCTAGTGCCCACTGCCAAGCCCCCCCCAAAATCCCTTTCTAGTTCTTAACACCAACTGCACCCAGACTAATGTCCCTTCTCAGACATGATCCACACTTTCTTCCCTAATAACAAGCTCATGACAATCCTCTATATGGGTAACTAGAGGCCTGGTGCACAAAATTCATGCACGAGAGTGGAGGGTGCCTCTCAGCCCAGCCTTCACCTTCTCCAATCTGGGTCTCCTTGAGGGATATCCAACTGCCCATTTAGGCTCTATCCAGATAGGATTGAGCCTAAACAGGCAGTCAAACATCCCTCTCACAATCCAGGACTGCTGGCTCCCAACTGCTCACCTGCTTGCCTTCCTGACAGCCCCTAACTGCTTCTGCCTGCCAGCCTGATCACCCCTGCCTTCCACTGCAGGCTTGATTGTCCCAACTGCCCTCTCTTACAGGCCTGGTCCCTCCCAACTGCCCTCCCCTTCTGGCCTGATTGCCTATAACTGCCCTCTCTTGCAAACCTGATCCCTCCAAACTGCCCTCCCCTGCTGGTCATCTTGTGGCAGCCATCTTTTGACCACATGGGGGCAGCCATCTTGTGTTGGAGTGATGGTCAATTTGCATATTACCCTTTTATTAGATAGAACATTCAATGATATCGCTAACATGAGTATTTTATAGGTGGGAAAGTGAAAAAATTTTGTCCTTAACCACTATACCATTTCTATATGCAAATGCCTTCCACATAGCAGACAACTAATTAACATTTTTAGTAAATTTACATCTTTGTCGGGTAAGGCCTACAGAACAAAATTATATAAATTTTATTTTGGAAAATAATACTATATTGTCATAATACTCCAATTACCCTAAAAATTACTGTGTAAAAAAATTCTTCAATTTTCCCTGACAACTTACTTATCAAACCAAGTCTTCTTTGTAGTAACTCCAGGCTCCCCAGAACCAATTGTTCTTTTCCTTGACTCTGAATCCACAACTATCCTCATACTGCTTTTATTAGGAGGCTTTTCTGTTTGAAAAGAAAAGAAAAAATTAATATTTTCTGTTTATCATAGCTACACTTCCTTAAATTCATATTGAAAACCAAGTTCTGGCTCTCTGTCCACATATATATTTTAGAAGAAATAAAAATAAATGTACATTCAAATATAGTAGTAATCTAAGAGATTTTAATTTATTTCTAATTCACTTCAACCTAACTACAGAAAAATTAGTAATTCTCACATGTCTAATTAAAATATGACTCTGGCCCTGGCCAGACTGTTCAGCTGATTGGAGCATCATCCAGTAGGCCAAAAGGTTTCAGGTTAATTCTTGATCAGGGTACATACATAAGTTGCAGATTCAATCCCTAGTCAGGGTGCATAAAAGAGGCAACCAATGAATGTTTCTCTGTTTCTATGTCACAAAATTCTTCCTGGTTCTAAAAGGTAGTTTAGGGCGTATACACTTTATCTAGACCCTTTCACTGGCTATTTTTTACTTAGCATACATATCTACAGCAGATTAGGTAGAAATATCCAGTATCTAGCATGGGTGATGTTCACAGTGCAAGCTGCAGTTTCTTTGGCCAGTGTTTCTTCGCAGCATCAGTCCTGCAAAGGGGTTTTTGGCCTTATTCCTGCCTCACAAGCCTGGTTCACTGGCCCTTTTGGAGAGGTCTTGAGCTATCCAATATATTTTTTTTCCTTTAATATGTTATTTACCTAAAGGTTCACTAAAGGCAATAATGTGTTTTTCCTCAGTATTTGTCATGTGTTTGCTCCAATTCATCTGTATCCTCTCACTCGTACTTTTGTTATTTATTTTAAAAAGAGAGTTAAAAAAAAAAAAAAAAAGAATTAGAAGCTAGCCAAAGCCAGTTTGGCTCAGTGGATAGAGTGCCAGCCTGTGGACTGAAAGGTCCGGGATTCGGTTCTGGTCAAGGGCATGTACCTTGTTTGCGGGCACCTACCCGGTGGGGGTTGTGCAAAAGGCAGCTGATCAATGATTCTCTCTCATCGATGTTTCTGACTCTCTATCCCTCTCTCTTCCTCTCTGTAAAAAATCAATAAAATGTATTTAAAAAAAAAAAAAAAAAAAAAAAAAAGGAGCTAGTTCTTCTGGGGATACAATTACCAAATGTGCATATTACTTATATGTACTGTGTTTTACCCCAATATCCATTTTAATAAATTATTTTTCTGCTTAAAATTTTCAACACTGGTTTTGTTGACAGCAAATGAAAACTTAGCCCTTCTTCCTACCTATATTCAACCAAGGAGCATCTATCAAATTTCCCACCTCCTTAGCAATATGGAAAAAACAATTATCAAGGACTCCAAGTTACATTAATATTCAGAATTCTAAGGCATCAAAGTACCTACATTTTTTTCATTGTAAATTTAAAGTATGAAGCATAAAAATATGATTATCACACAATAGTCTTAGACAAATTTAAATGAAGGCCATCTATAGGCTATTAGAAATATATAATAATTATATAATAAATAGTATAATAGGCTTTTAATTACATATCACAATCCAGGACATTAAGTTTTAAACTAAACAGGCAACAGATGAAAAGATTTTGGGGGTTGAGGGACCAAAGAAAGGAAAAGAAGTATAGGTAATACTCAATATAAATGGGTTGCTAAATCAGTTTTGTGATGCATAAAAACAATGTTATTAATAAAGAATATATTCCTAAACCAGATCACAGAAATAGTACATAATGTTTCTAAAGAACAGTATTAAAGCAATCACTACTATGTATGATTCCAAGAGAAAAGGCGTTCAAATTTCTAGGCACATCAGAGATTTTTCTCTCAATAGGTCCATTTCTGTAACTTACATGCATGTGGAGCTGAAATTACCACCACTCCAACTTCTACACAGTTAAAATTTATATGTAAAATGTTTGATCCCTCTTCCTTCTCTCATTACCAACAAAAAATTCACCTGGCATTGGAATGGGCCTAATAAATACTGATCCGTAGCAGCGTATAGTTATGCCACTCCAAAAGAGCAAGATAAGAGATGACTTGATGTTGGAGTTCTAGCAAGAGCAAGGAATATGTATATGATAAAAAGAAAATAAGTACTAAATAGTGACCTAACAAAGTTTTCTCTGAACTGGCCAGGTAGAAGAGACTTGGGGGATAAACAGCCACAAGTGCTACTTTTCAATTACAAGAAATGGTTAAAAAACTTTTTTTGCAAAACTAAAATAATCTTTTTTTCTGCTGTTTTTGTAAATGAGTCACTGGAATGCCGCAAGAAGAATTTAAAAGGTGGGCATCAACATGAAATGTTGTCCTGTGATCTCAATTTAAATTGGGTAAATGTTAAAATGATCTTCATCACAAAAAGGTCTTTGAATACTCAAGGTACCTGAGAGTTTTCAGTACACAACAACAAAATAAATCAAAGTATAAATAATCACAAGTTTACTAAACCACAATAGTTATTGATTGTTACTTAATTAAGTTGGAGTTTATTCACACTTGATGAGGCATGACATGTTAGAAAAAAAAAAAAAGATATTGGGAAAAGATGGAAAGAAAATAGCATTTAAAAACTAGTTGAAATAGGGGAAAAGACACTTTTAATGGTATACATAATATTTCCTATTAAGTCTAATGATCCTTCACTTCCCTGTATCAATTATCTATAGCAAATCTTTCAAATTAATGTAAGCTCTACACCTCCTCTGACTCTCCATATCCATCTGTGTCTCTAGAACAGGAGTCTTACTGCCTCAGCTTGTGACTGTGTCAGTCTAAACTCTTAACTTCTGTCATTTAGAAATTTTATCAAAAAAATCTGTCTCCTCTAAGAAAATTTTTAAAAGCTAATTAGTCACTTCCTAAAATATAATTCCTTTTGCTTAAAACATTATAAGCAAACCAATTTCAAATTCTAACATCAAAAGTAAAATATACATCAAGTACAATTTGTACAGCAAATTTCATTATTAACTGTGACAGGATCTATCTTTAGGAATTAAAGCATTACTCTAAAGAGTTTAAATAAACCTATTAAGACTGCAAATGATAGAAAATACCCAACAAAAGCTACATTAGAAAATATGTACTTTTGTAAAACTTTTTTCCTCTTGGAAGCACCATAAATAGAGAACTACATTATTACCTTTTCTCTCATGGGAGACCAAAGGTTGAAGAAAAAACATAAACATTATCCTTTACTCAACCTATAAATACAGGACCAATTTTTCTTTATAAATGTTTGTCATGCTTGATATTACGAAAATTATTTTTTAAAAAAAAGATTAATCATAGTACCTCTGGGTGGCAAATCCATATCCCCTGATGTCAATCCTATCAAGTTAGGCCTTTGTGCATGCACTCTGTGTCTATACATAGGTCTGGAAGTGTTTGTTATGCTTGGGGCCTCAGGATTGTAGCCATCTGTGTCATATGTATCTGGTAATACAAAAACTGTAATTAAAAAACAATTGTAAAACTCCATTTTATAATTTTTCTATATTGATAACAGAAAAAGTAAACTATAATGTTACTAATACAAAGCTAACATATTTCATATGCATTAAAAAGAAAATTTAGTTTTATAAAAATAAAAATGCTATTTAAAAGAAAATGTAAGTTTTTAAAAACATAACTAAAGACTAACATTTAATGTACATTCAACTTGTCTACATTTTTATTTTATATAATTATAGTGAGAAAAATAAGTCCTGCTAGAGCAGTGGTTGGCAAACTCATTAGTCAATAGAGCCAAATATCAACAGTACAAATATTGAAATTTCTTTTGAGAGCCAAAAACTGACTTCTGCGCATGGGCCATGAAGTTTCAATCGCACTGTTCGTGTGCGCCCGCACTTGGTATTTTGTGGAAGAGCCAACCTCAAGGGACCAAAGAGCCGCATGTAGCTCGCGAGCCGCGGTTTGCCGACGACTGTGCTAGAGTAATTCGCTCTCTAAACATTTAAAAATTCCTTATCTAAAGCTATATTCATAAATATAGAGAGGGCCAAAACTGCACCTGCAGTAAAAAGAGAGGGTGGAGCAGGAGGAGGCTGGTGATGAATGCCAGTTGTTACTACAGTAGGAACAGAACTGGTTGCAGAGTTTGGGGGAGCATCCATGCCAGATGGCTGCAAAGGAGGAAGTGGAGGTGGTGGTCCTGTCAAAACCAAAGAATAAGAAATATCATCTGAAAGCAAACAAATAAAATAAGTTATTTGTATATCCAAACATGATATTTTCATTCATCAAACTATAATATCTACAAACATGAAGCTCTTACAACTATTTTAGTTTTCTAGGGTAAATAGCCTTTTAATGTTTTCTAAAACAGGTTTCTCTTAAGCTATAAAATATTACAGGCAGCTGAGATTTATCAGGGATTGTGCATAATTCAGAGCTACTTCAAACCATAGTAAATCACAGGTTTGGCATAGTCAAGCAAAGCAGGTGTATAGTCTAAATGGGGATATCTTGCTCTTAGTTTCCCAGCATCTACAAAATTACTTTAGATACTTTTAATAAAAGCAAGCATCAAACTATTAACTTTTTTAAAAGATTACAAGTACAGACAAACATATTTACTTACCTGTGACAGGTGGTAGACTGGGTGGTAATGGGCCTGGTGGTGGCACTGGGGGTCTCAGATTCACAGGTGGGGGTGTAAGAATTGGTGGGGGTGGGGGGAGTCCAGGAGGAGGTGGTCCTTCAACAACAGGAGGCTGTGCTGGGAAAGGCAGCATGCCAGGAAGATTCACATCTTCTACAACTACTGGGTCACTTCCATGATCAAAAGGGCACATGTCTCCTCTCATACAGAAACCCTTTTCTGTGAGGAAAAAGAGAAATATGAAGAGTGCTGGCATTGGTGGTCTGACATATGAGTTAACAAAAGTAATATATTTAAAAACAGAATATTTTTTAATATAGGGCAGGTATAATTAACCATATCACAAGAGCTACCCTACTAATCCCAGTAATTTAAAAATACTTATTAAGTCATAATAAAGATAACACACACACTAGAAAATATATCACCAAATTAAAGTGAGTATATTTAACTAGTAAGATGGCATAAAACGTATATATTTGTCATTAGAAATACTTCCTGTATTTAAATCTCACACAAAACTTTATAAACACTGCAACTATAGCTTTCATAAGTTTATAAAACTTTTACAATAAAACCTTAAAAGTCTTCATTTATAAATTCTTATATAGGTGATATTCACACTTCTGGTTCTATTTACATGACAATAACCATTCATTTTTAAAAATGTAAACTCTGAAGAAAATGTTTCAGTAGCACATTCCCTCACAAGTAACTCTATAAATATTAGTCTTGTTTGATAAATTCCAAATATATCTTTAAGACTTACATGCAAATAAATAATATATTTAAACAGGTATTCAATAGTCAGTAGTGATTAATGAGGTTTTCAATAGGATTGAGAAATTCATGAATGCTTAACATTAATTTCCCACTATTTCCAATAGGTTAAGTTTTTGGATAATTGTGTGTAACCTAAACTTACAGAATTTAGTCAGCTGGATATATTAATTCAGTATGTCATGAAAAAGTTGAAAGGCTTACTTACCATCATAGTCTCTACACCGCTTTTTTGGCATTGGTGGTCTGACATATGAGTTATGGTCCACTTGGTCTTCATGAAATTCAGACCAACTTTCGGTAGTGTTATTACCATGATGTGTAGGAGCAATTACTGTTATGGTGCTGCTCAGAGTAGGTACAGGGTAGTGACCGGATGAAATGTTAGGTACCGAAGAAACTGGAGTATAATTGTTTTCTAGTGGATCTGCTCTATCCAGGTCATATTTAGGTTTTACCAGATCTCTTTCTGCAACAAAATATAAATGACTTATAAAACTATTTTTTTTTAAAAAAAACCAGGTCCCAGATGCAGAAATGGTATTATTTTCACTAAACAGAAAACGTTCCAATTTTAGATAATCCTCCTTTTCTTTTGAAAACTAGCAATGAATATACCATGTCCCAAGAAAAACTATTTATTTTCAATGTGACCTAAACTATAAAACCACACATAAACTTGCTGTACTTAATGAGTTTAAAATTTCTTGAAGTTCTATTTACAGAAAATAGATTTTTAATTTTTCTTCACTGTAATCTTAGTATGCATAATTTCAGTCCCCCCCAAAAAAACAAATTATGTAATAAAATATGGTTATTTTTTCTGCAATGAATATTTGTTATCCTGCTAAATGCCTTTTTACAGTGAACACCATTTGACAATGAGAATGGATGAGCAGAGAAAGAAAATGGAGTGCATATTAAACACAAACAAAGAAATTAACTGGGCTGTTTATGGACCCTAGGAAAAAGAAAAGGTATTAAGGAGATTCGTTAAGTGAAGCAATGTGCCAAGAGGCCTAGTATATGTAGCTCAAAGGGGGGGAAACTCTAAAAGAAGAGAAATAGAGAAGTGCAGGGTTTATACAAAGGCTACAAAATCATTTCCTAGACTTAATAAAGATGGCTAAACAATAAAGTTTGCAAGGATAGCTAATATCAAAGCTTAAGTAAAAGTGTTTTACTCAAAGATATTTGTTTTATTGGTAATGATATCTCCTGTTGAATGCACATTGTAAGAAAAATTATACATGTTGGAAATGACATGGTCTTGAAATTACACACATCTTAAATGAAAACTTTTAACTGTTTTCATAGTTTTGAAGCATAAGTGACATATAATTAATACAAGTTTTATGGCCCTTAAATAAGAAGTATTTTCCCAGTATGAGAATACCAACGAAAATTTACGCCTATATGATTTACCCCTGCTTCGTGTTCTGCTCCTGCTTCTGGTCCTGCTTCTATCCCTATCCCTGTCACGAAGCCTCTCTTTACTCCAACTTCGACTCCGACTCCTGCTGTAACTGCGACTTCGCCCTCGTCTTCTGTTGTACCGGTCTCTGTATGAATCTCTTCGAGGAGGGTTTCGATCATAATCTCTTTTGCGAGAACGATCATCCTTTTTCCTCTCATCACGACTTCTAAGAAAATATATGATCATTTTCATGTAAATAACTTTTAAGTAGATAGAGGGAAAACTCTAAATGCAACAGTCATATTTAATTCTTATAATATCATGATTATTTATTGTACCATCAAAATACAAACATAGGAAAATGAAACAATAAATAACTCGAACAATAAAAAATTGAACATGATCTGCAGAACAAGTACTCTAAAACTCCTTTAAAAAAAAAATCTCAATTCTTAGTCTTACATAAAAAGGCATATATACATTTAGGTATCTATACATATGTCTTATAGTACATAGTATCTGTAAATATGTATACTTATACATATGAACACTTATATCTTATCTCATAGGCATGTATCACATGCACTGCATTATAAATGCTTTGAAGCCTTACTGAAAAAAAAAAATCATAAATTCTTACTAAAGGGAAACTTCAGGCAAGAAAAGGTCTCATTAAGATTTCACTGGAGCTGAAACCGGCTTGGCTCAGTGGATAGAGCATCGGCCTGTGACTGAAAGGTCCTAGGTTCGATTCCGGTCAAGGGCATGTAACTTGGTTGCAGGCACATCCCCAGTAGGGGGTGTGCAGGAGGCAGCTAGTCGATGTTTCTCTCTCATCAATATTTCTAACTCTCTCTCTCCCTTCCTCTCTGTGAAAAATGAGTAAGATACATTAAAAAAAAAAAAAAAAAAAAAGATTTCACTGGAGCCCTCGCTGGTTTGGCTCAGTGGATAGAGCGTCAGCCTGTGGACTGAAGAGTCCCAGGTTCGATTCCGGTAAAGGGCACATGCCCAGGTTGCAGGCTCAATCCCCAGTAGGGGGCGTGCAGAAGGCAGCCAATCAGTGATTCTCTCTCATCACTGATGTTTCTCTCTCTCCCTCTTCCTTCCTCTCTAAAATCAATAAAAAGAAAAAAAGATTTCACTGGAACTTAAGTTAAGAATAAAAATAAGAATAACTAATAAATGGTAGAAAAGGACTGAGTTACACTTTCTTAAACCAGTAACAAAATAGACAGTACTTGCCCCCATGTAAAAGATAATCAAGTCTAAACAGCTGTGTAAAAGATAACCAATGTCTAATCACCAAATATGGTTCAATGAATTAATCACCTATTTTCTCTATATCGGGAGCTTGACTGGGGAGGACTGTGATTTAGCCTTCTGGAAAACTTCTTCTCTCGTTCTTCCTCTTTTATAATCTGACAAACAAAAGGGAAAAAAAAAAAAGGTGTAGAAGATTTAGCAACAGTCATTCTTTACCATGTTACTATTTCAATGACTTAACTAATATTAAAATATAAAAGAAACATTGCCATTTAAATAAAATACATTTAGTTTAATCACTAAAGACAGGCATGCTGAAAGTTAAAGTGAACCCAAAGAAACTCATAAATGCTTATCTTAGATAATAATTAGTGGAGAGAGCCGAAACCGGTTTGGCTCAGTGGTAGAGCATCGGCCTGGGGACTGAAAGGTTCCGGGTTCGATTTCGGTCAAGGGCGTGTACCTTGGTTGCAGGCACATCCCCAGTAGGGGGTGTGCAAGAGGCAGCTGATCGATGTTTCTCTCTCATCTATGTTTCCAGCTTTCTATCCCTCTCTCTTCCTCTCTGTAAAAACTCATAAAATATACTTTTTTTAAAAAATAATTAGTGGAGAGAAAACATTTTAATCAAGTGTCCTCATCTAAAAATTATCAGTAAAAATCCAACTTTATTCCTCTTTTAAAAGTCCAACATTCATGTTTTGGTTCATAAATTTGGTTTGGCAATGAACACATTAGGGAATATATGAGCATGCATTACAACTAATCAAGTCATAAAAAAAATAGAACATTTGAGAAAATAAAATATTGCTTCAGTTTCTCATGGTAGTATGGCAGCAATATATTCCTCTTTCCTACAAAAGACCTTCATTCACATTGTATAATTAATAGAAAGCAGCCCTGAAAAACATTCCCTTGTTCAATGCTACATTGTTTAGGATAGAATTTTCCATGCTGTAGTGCTCAGAACACTGTTTTCATAGCACATTAATAGGTGTTACTAAAAAGAAAAGGATTTAGAGGATAAATTCAGAAAATACTGAACATGTGGCTTCTAGAAATATGATAGGCATTAAGATTTGCATTTTTTACAAGAACCCTAAGATATTCCGATGTAGGTGGTCTACAGATAATATAAACATGTTCTAGTTTATGCCAGTTGCTCCAGCATCCCTTTGGGTGAAAGCCGCTCACAGTCAAAAGTATCCTCAATCCTAAATAATAAAAGGGTAATACGCAAATCGACCAAAAGGCAGAATGATCTGTCACTATGACGAGCACTGACCACCAGGGGGCGCACGTTCAACACAGGAGCTGCCTCCTGTGGTCAGTGCGCTCCCACTGGGGGAGCACTAAGCCAAAAGCCAGGCTCATGGCTTGAGCCCAGCAGTGATAGCGGGAGCCTCTCCCACCTCCATGGCAGCGATAAGGATGTCCCACTGCCAACTTACACCCACTCCCCGCGGGAAGCGTTATTTGGACATCCCCCAAGGGCTCCCAGACTGTGAAAGGGCATAGGCTGGGCTGAGGGATACCCTCACCCCCTCCCGAGTGCACAATTTTCATGCAATGGGCCTCTAGTTGGATGATAAGTTAAATATGGATATTCTAACAACAGACCAAACTCTGACACTGCTTAAAAATTTTATAACAGTCTTTCCTTTCCTCTCCTTTATTAACACTTTTATTCTCTTGCCACTCATATCAACCCTCCCCTTCCAAAAATACTGGGTACAAATACAACTCTCCTGAGGCACTTTTTCCTTTTTATTTGCCTCAGTGCACACTTGTAAGTAATTTGTGTTGACAGATCACCATATTCCATAGTACATAATCAATGGTGAACTTTTACTACACCCACAGCATTTTTTATCTAGATTGCCACCTGACATTCTGACAGTTCCGAAAAGGATAAATACCTTTAACAGGGTATTGTATGTGTGCCTGTCTGTGTAATTATGTACAAATACATGTGTATAAAATGTTTAGGTATAGAGGCATAAAATTATATTTAAGAATTATTATGTAACATTTTATATGTATATATATTATTGCATAAAAATGTTTTAGTTATATAATATGAAGGAAAAAAAGGTTTATGGGGGGTAAAAAACCAGAAGGTCACAACCACATTTTTCACACAACAATCTCTCAATACTAATTGTAATTACCATTTACTAAAAACCCTACTATGTGCCACATAAATACTGGGTTCTTTCAAGATATTATTTAACTAGTCCTCACAACAACCTCATAGTATTTCCATTTCACAGCCAAGAAAACTATGGCTTGAAAAAGTAATGTTTTCAGGGTCACAAAGTAATGACTGTTAAAGGCAATTTTTAATTGTCAATTTTTTTAATGGAATTACAATCCTTAAACATCAAATTGAGATCTGAATTATTAAATGATTATTAAAGAATGGTAATTGTGTATAAAAGATGTTTTCCATTAAACCTTTTAAATTAATGAGGTCATTTTATTTATCTTAAAAATAGTTCCCTACAAAATGCTTGTGGAACAGAAACTCTCAATCTAATTATTTTCACAGAACATAGGTAATAAATGTCCATAGCTATAAGATACTATGCAGAAAAGTTACAGGCCTGCCTGTAACACAGATCCTTGGGTGGCACCTGTGAACTATGATTTCTGGAGGGTTCCCATCATTGCCTGATAATAGCAGCTCATTTATGCCTGAAGTGTCTGTGTACGCAATATAGTTTATGGCAAACACCTGCTTTCCTCATGGGAATCTAGAACAGACTAGGCAGAAGGTACCCAGGTGGCCAAAACTAAGTAAAAGTCCTGGACACTGAGTCTTTAACAAGCTTCCCTGGTTCACATATACTGTCACTACTCCTTAAGCACATCTTAGGTGGCTCCACTGGGAGAGAACTCTGAAAGCTTGCACCTGCTTCTCCCTAGACTTTGCACCATACACTGTTTTCCCTTTGCTGATTTTGTTTTGTATTCTTTCACTGTTAGAAATCATAACTGTGAGAATGACTGATTGAGTCCTGTGAGTATTCCTAGTGAAATCACTGGGGGTGGTCTTAAAGACTCCTAACATAGATACAGAAAATACAACTCAGTTTAATTATCCCTTATATGTTTTCAAAGAAAGTATATGGTTTAACACAAATCCTTACCTCGTCTTTTTTTATATCTTTTTCTTGGTGCTGAAAAAATTCCACTTTTAAGCTTCCTGATGATGGCTGCTCTGGAGGAGGTAGATAACTCTTTGTATTCACAGCATCAAAAAGTTTTTCCACAAATATCTGTGTCTCTAAAAATAAAACAAACCAAAAATTCCCACATATTAAAAGCCATTTGCTAAGGTATTATTCTCCACTTAAAACCTCCCTAACCAGTGTGCCATGGCACAGTCCCATGGTAACACCAATATATTCAGTTTTCAGGGTGATGAGGGCTGGAACAGCCAGAGTTTCTGGGCCAATCACTTCCAGCCATACCAGTCTCCATGTACTCTACCTATGTGCAAACACAAATACTATTATACCATCATCTATCAGGCGTCTTCAAACTGCGGCCCGCAGAGGAGTCTGATCCGGCCCGCCAGGTTTTTTGGGCAGTGAGCGCAGCCGAGGTGTTACAGTAGGAATTAGTAGTTCATATAGTCCGGCCCTCCAGCTCTCTGAGGGACCGTGATCTGGCCCCCACTTTAAAAAGTTTGAGGACCCCTGATTCTAGATGTTGGCAAGTGGAAAAGCTAAACAGCACTGCACTAGAAAACATTCAAAGTAGATCCCTAAGAAGTACTATCCTATATAATAAAGAGATTATATGCAAATTAACCCTCATTCCCTCACAAGATGGCTGCCTACGACCAGCCAGCAGGGGGATTAGTGAGGGAAGACCAAACTACTGAAAAGCAGGGTGTGTGGGGGCAAATAGACCGGTGGGAGACAAGGGGCATGAGGGGTGACCAGGCCGGCAGAGGGGGGCAGTTGGGGGTGACCAGGCCAGCAGGGAGGAGCAATAAGAGGTAACCAGGCCAGTGGGGGTGGGGGGCAGTTAGGAGTGACCAGGCTGGCAGGGATGGGGCAGTTGAGGGTGACCTGGTCAGCAGGGGGGGGGGGGGCAATTAGGGGCAACCAGGCTGGCGGGGGGGTGGGGGGGCAGTTAGGGGTGAACAGGCCAGAGCAGAGGCAGTTAGGGGTGACCAGTTAGGAGCAACCAGGCAGGCAGGCGAGCTATTAGGAGCCAGCAGTCCAGTATTGTGAGAGGGATGTCTAACTGCCAGTTTAGGCCCAATCCCAGACATCCCCCAAAGGGTCCTGCATTGGAGAGGGGTGCAGGCTAGGCTGAGGGGACCCTACCCCCCCTCCTCCGCACAAATTTTGTGCACCAGGCCTCTAGTCTTTAAATAAACAAGCATCCAGTCATTTTCTTAATCTTCAAAGAAAAAATATCATAAAATTAAAACCTGTCTCTTACTGAGTTCCTTTAATAGTGTGGATACTTTAGTGTTTATTTTATGTTCATTTTACTCCTAGGCCACAGGAGTAAATTTAGAGAGAAATTCTTTAGAGAGAAAGGAAGGGAGAGGGATAGAGAGAAACATCAATGAGAGAGAGACATCAATAAGCTGCCTCATGCACACACACTATACTGTTGATCTAGCCAGCAGACAGAAATGTGCTCTAATATGGAATCAAACTGGTGACCTCTTGGTTCATGGATCGATGCTCAACCACTGAGCCACACTAGCTGGGATGGAATAATCTGCTCTTTTTCAGTAAGGATCATCTCAGTGTGGAAAAGCTAATGTATTGGTTAATCTGCCCATGAGCTCTGTAAATTCTGTACCACATCTTGGAAGCTTTGTTCACTTGGATGTGCTCAATGACCAGAGAATCTACATTATATCTAAACCCTTAAGCTCAGCATTACTCTGCATTTTTTAAGCATGTGCAGCAAAATTTAGCACTCTTTTCAGGCCACTGATCCTGTGTTCAGCCCACTGTTTGCCTGGGCACACATACCAATTCCAATACTGTAACAATGGAATGGCACACATTGCTTCTGTAAAGTGACTGCCTTCAGATACCTGGTAGCTTTTCGGATATTCATACCCTTGAAGGCCTGGACAGTTTCACAAGTCTTCTTAAAGTGAATATGAGGATCAGAACCTCTTGATTTGCATGGTTTTGTGAGGTCTTCTGGTCAAGTGAATAGGATCCATTTTCAGAGGTCACCTCAGATTTCTTTCAAGAACAGCTAGATAATCTTATTTTAAATGACATAAAATAAAGTAGTATTTTTAAAACAAAGATCTTACCTTTTTGAAGAAATACATCCAGTTGATCAATACATAATGCCTTTAATTCTTTTTCACTTTTGTCTTTTTTTACCAAAGCAAGAACATATTTTGCAAGGGCTGATGGATCTGCATCACAGCTGAAGAAAAAAAGTGTTGAAGAAAATTTAGGCATAAATAATTGCATATTCTACAAATTTTAGTTACAAATGGACTTAGTTGGCATAACAGTTACATGAATTAACATATATAAAAAACACCTGGTTCGTGGAAGGCAATATAGACATATAAGTTCTGCTTTGCAGTAATATACTTTACATAATTTGTACAGTCATTATTCAGTATCCTTCCAAATATATACTAATATATGTATTGAAAACTCAGTAGGCTTTATTACTATCAAAAAAGATAAAATTATAAAGTAAAATAATTTTAAAATATTAAAAACTAATATAATTAGTATGGTATGATAAAAATATCAAAAGGCTTTTCCCCCTCAGAAGTAGATAAATAGCTAAGAAAACACAGGAAGAGTACAATAAAGAAAAACGTAAGTATATACTACTCAATATATTATTTTAACAACGGACAAGAAAGTCTAGAAACAGACCCAAACATACATAGAATTTTAGATTTTATAATGGTGGCATTAAAATCAATAAAGAGGAGATGAACTAGGCTACCTGTACCTAATGCCTGACGTAAAGGAATGATAAATGTTATGAGATGATAAATACCTACAGGGCTACTAAGTTCATCTTCAGGGTAATTTGTTATTTATCATAAGTCAACTTCTCTCATAGATATATTACTACTATTTGCAAAGACTTGAAGTGGGTTATAACTTAAATAAAAAACAAGAGGGAAAAATCTTATTTCAATGGTACAGGAGAGATTTTAAAAAACTTTTTCTTCGTAATTTAATATAGTTTCTTATATCAACGTTTTTAAAATGCAGACAAAATAACTTATGGTAAATTAATATTTTCCCATTTAATTATAATGAGCACGAAAAACTGAGATCTGTGATGAAATAAGCATGAAGAAAGTGATAATAACCTCATGATGTATTTATAGATATACTTATATCTGGCAATCTGCTATTACTGCTATTACCATGAAACAATACTTATGCATGTTAGGTAACTTGACTAAACACAATCAACTAAGCATTAACCTAACTAGACATCAACGTAAACATACTTCAGTTTACTAGAAATCACTAATACTATATCATAGTGTTATATTGTTCTTATTGCAGTTGTTGTTAATAAAAAATTCAGTCTCTACATTAAATCTAAATGCTATAATTTGATTCAAAACTGGTTTGTTGTGAATTTTCAATTTAATAATGCCTTTCTAATAATGTAACTGTCAGTTTACATTTCTCTAAACTGAACACCAAATCTATTCCATTCCCATCCTGTTAGTTTTCAAAGTGGATTAATATGTCAGCAGCTAAAAATCTAGAGAAAGACCTTTGTGATTTTCATAATTATTTCGGTCTATAGACTACAGTTTTATAAAACAGTAAGACAAAATTCCCAAACAATCTTTGCTCAACAACTTTGAATAAAATCAAGAACCAATAAAAGTCACAATGATGCCGGGACCGGTTTGGCTCAGTGGATAGAGCATCGGCCTGCGGACTGAAAGGTCCCGGGTTCGATTCCGGTCAAGGGCATGCAGCTTGGTTGCGGGCACATCCCCAGTAGGGGGTGTGCAAGAGGCAGCTGATCGATGATTCTCTCTCATGGATGTTTCTAACTCTCTGTCCCTCTCAATTCCTCTCTGTGTAAAATCAATAAAATATATATTTTTAAAAAAAGTCACAATGACAACAAATCAATTATACAACAAATCAAGTATAAACAAAAAATTTAAGTACCTGAGATAGTCTGAAAGGCAGACTACTTTTAAAATTTGTTAAGATTGCAAATTATAAACTAGAAGATTTGTAATTTCACAATTAACAACAAAACAGGTAAATCTGCATTCGATAGGCAATTTTTCTTTAGTCCTATAAGAAACATTTTATTTGTATTTCAATTATTTTGGGGTTTTTTATCTTTACTGTTGACCAAAAAAAAAGTACCTATGTTCTTGCAAATTATAGCCTAGTAAAAATCTGAACTATAAACATTTAATAATATTCCAAAATGGTATGTATCAGGAATATGGAAAATGTGTTCTCTTTTCTATTTGTCTTAATTAAAAGTGCCAATGCTGCATCATATCAACATCTAGGATTGATAATCTGATATACAAAATCAATGATGTAAAAAAAAAAAAGTCTAAATAACCTAATCAAAAGAATCACATTCACATAATAAGGAGTTAGTTACTTTTAAAAACTGTCTCCTCGGCAAGCAAGATTGATTTTTCATTAAGTACTTTACTAAAATAGCAGCTACTGATAATAAGCTTGTGATTTGAATAATACATATCTTGTCAAAGCTAAACTTTACCCTCTTCTACACTGCTAGCATTCTGGTAACGTGTGAAAGAAAAGAGGGGTTGAATCTTTCAGATTAGAGAAAGAGACAAAAAAATGTCAGATTTTGAAAATGCGTAAGGACAAAGGAATACTGAAAGAATGGCAAACTGCATTCCCACCACCTCAGAAAGCATGCCAAATTCCCTCTGATTTTATATTCCGTAAGCACTTAGCCCAGCAAAACCATAATCTGCCAATAAAGAAGAGTAATTTTGTGTGTGCGTGTGTATTTGGGGGTGGGGGATGGAGGTGAAGGGAGGTGGGGAAAACACAAAGAAAACCAGAAACTACAAAATAAGGCAGGCATTATACATGACCTACCAATAGTATTTGCGACAGGTGGGATGGAAGTTGGAGCAACTACCAGTGTTTTAGTTAATAGTAAGTCAAGTGAGACAAATGTGAAATGGTTGTGAGAAAACTTAAATCATAAAGATGCAATAAAACAGAACAATGAGAACTTCCAAGGAAACAATGCAGCGCAGTTTTCTTATGCAGTAACGAGTGCTTTCACTTAAAGGTGCCAACCTTTATAAATATATAAACATACTTAATGAAACAGATTCATAGAAAAAGACCAGAATGGTAAATGGTCAGATAGCTTACTCAGGGATTCTCTGTCAGAAAAATAGAAATGTCAGAGAGAACTTTTTAGGCTTTCAAATACTTGAGGGGCTATCACAAGAAAAGGTTTACTATATTCACTATATCTTCCATGGGTATAATTAAAACTAATAAATGAAAGCAATCACCTTGGCTTAAAATAAAGACAGAGTTTTTAAAAAAAATATCAGAAGCCTCCCACAGGCAGAATAAACTGACTGAGAGAAAGTGAGTTTTCCATCATTAGAATGGTTTTCAAGCATAGTCTGAACAGCCCCTGGCAGATACGAACTAGATTGGACAGTAAATCCCTCCAAATCTGAGAGCATAATTCCCTAGGTTAATTTTGTTCATGGTATATTGTGCAGCTATATAAAATATAAGATAATGCAGTATTCATTCTACTAAGTGTATTGGTTAATAATGTGGATTCTGTAATCAAAGAAAACATGAAAATTTCAAGAGAAACATCAAAAGTGCTTTATTCAAAGTAATGTCCATCACTAACCCTGCACTTCTCTGTTTCTCTTCTTTTAGAATTCCCCTCCCCCCGCTTTGATCTACATATACTAGGCCTCTCAGCACATTGCTTCACTTAACAAATCTCCTTAATACCATCTTTCAGGGAATTTATGGATATGGTCCCAACAGAACTTTTCTTGTTTTGAGGCAAACCATTCAGAGACCCAATTTTCCACTTCTTCATACATTTTGAAGTGCTGTTCAGAAAGTACATGTGCCACTGATCAGAACAAGTGGTAATCTGAAGGAGCAAGGTCTGGTGAATAAAGAGGGTGGGTTAATACTTCCCAAGCATAATCTTTTAACATGTCTTTAACTGGTTTTTATGTGTGTGATGATGCATCATCATGAAGCAAAATTACTTTGTCGTGTCTTCTGGCACATTCTGGTCATTTCAAGATCAAAGTGTGGTTCAAATTGATTATTTGTTCTCAGTAGCGATCAGTATTAATGGTTTCACCTGGTTTTAGAAGCTAATAATACACCACACCTTCCTGATCCCACCAAAACAGAGCATTGTCTTCTTTCCAAAGTGATTTGGCCTTGTACAGTAGTTGATGTTGACGGTTGACCTGGATCAACCCATGATTTTGTGCATTTGGGATTCTCAAAATAAATCCACTTTTCATCGCCAGTCAAAAAAAGACTTTCTTTCGTGCCATTGAAGCAACATTTTACTGATGACTTTTTGGTTTTCCATTTGTCTTTCGTTCAGTTGTTGTACCACCCATTTTCCTTCCTTTAAAATCTTTCCCACTGCTTATAAGTGATAGGAAATTGTTTGCTGAGCAACGTTTAATTTTTCTGCCAAGTTGTTTTCGAGTTTGGCATGCATCTTCATCCAATAATGCTTGTAATTGTTGGTCTTCAAACTCTGTTGACCTGGACATTTGTCTTTCACATCAAAATCGTCACTTATAAAACATTTAAACCAGCATCACAGGTATCTTAAAATGGAGAATGTGCTTTCCAAAGCACATAAGCTTCCCAAAGTATTCAGCAGCACCTTTCTTCAAAATAAAGCATAAATTAAAACTTCCCGCAAATGCTCTTTTTTTTTTGTATGAAATTTGATATTTTTAAGTGTAAAGATATCTATGATGTTAACACCTTCAGAAAATTTGACATATCAAGTTTTGAAGCTTGTTATCAATGCAACAAAACAGCATACATATCAAATCGCATATATATATCAACATATGTGTAATTCCATTTATTGAAAAAGAAACACATCATTAACTGGTATACCTAGTAATTACTAATCTATAAATATTAGTAATAAAATGTTTAAAGTTACACAACACTATAAAGTACACATTATATAAGTTAGTTTTATTAAAAAATATCAAAATCTAAAAATAGAACTTCTTACTCATGAGTGCAGCCTCTGGGCCTAACACAGTACCTGAGACAGAATATTAAAGAGTACGCTATGTAAAAATCTCTCACTAGATAGTTCACTTTTGTCAGGGGCACTTTTTTTCTTTATCTTCATAAAGTTCTAATAATAAAATAAAT